AATTATTTCATTATTTTAACTTCGCGTAAATAGCTTGCTGGAGTCCATAACCTGTAGAAATTATTGAGTTATGCAAGTAATAACTGAACATAACATCTCAAAGTTAAACTAATGGTTTATTGAGTATACTACAAAAAGAAACAAAATGGAACGATGATCGTAATATATATAAAAATAATAAAGAGCACGGGCTTCATAGGTGAAAGTTAAATTAGTAGTGCTGATGTGCTCCCAGATTTTCTAAATATGTAAATACCAATGTTTTTTCTTTCTTATTAACACATCTACATCAATATATTCTACATTTTTAACCGAAAATTTTTTTCAGTTACATGGCTATAATAATTTTCATAAATTTGGTGGCTCCTCGAGATCGCCAAGGTATTCTTTTAAACCCAATATTGATATGCTTTTTGGCTATGTTATATTTTAATAAAACGCCAAATTTTGATTTCCTATCCATGCTTCTCCTGTGTGCGTTGTGAACAAAATTACATGTACTTTTAATTTGACTTTAGTTTTGGCAGGTCGTGGGGGAGTTGTCTCCCATGGCCTGTCCTTATTAATATTACTATGCAAAATTTATTTAACTTTGAACATTATCATGGATAATATATATTTATATTTTGTATCTCGAGCTCTGCAAATATATTAAATAAAAGATTTTTATTAAATATGATCCAGTTCAAGTGTCATTTTCCTCTTCTGTTTTCATCACAATCTTCATTTGGTTCAGTCTACCCTACAACTTCCAACCTCACCTGATATTCCATCTCAACAAAATTGGCGCACTGACTTTCTATCACTATAATGAGAATGTTTTGTCATTCAAATTTATTTTTAAACTCCCGAATAAAATTTATCCAAAAGTGATATTAAAGAAAAGAAGAGTAAATTAATGTAATAAATTAAGATTATATGATACACCATTTGTGCCAGCAATAATATATATATATAACATAGTTTTTGGGCTACAAAATGTTCCAATCCGCTACTTTTGGAGCTCCATTCTCTACTTTTTAATCTTAAGTTCTGGCAACACTGAACTAATCTTTATCAGTGGAGCCCCTGAGTTAAGTTAAGTGACTCAAAATTTTAATTAAAGTTGAGTTAATTAAATACACAGCTGTATAGCACATCGAATATGTTGAAATAAATTCTTCCTAGACAACTTCTTGGTACTGGATTGGAGATCGATCGTTCTCTGATTATCAGGTCAAAATTACGATCTGTGGATGAATGAATGGCTGTATGAATGGATCCGTCTTATAAACAGGCGTGACGTATGATGTGGCAGAAGTCGAATTCTTGGCCATAGATGGCGCCACTAAAAAACAAGAATCGCCCACTCTGCATAAATTTGCTCGGTTTCACCAAGCAGGCTTGCCCGTGTGGCAAGCGGCATTAGAACCAACCAGCAATGTGGGGATAGTTGTGTAATGTATCTACCACTAAAAATTATAATTCCAATTCACTAGTATATAAGACATGTTAACTCGATTCTATGGTGGGGTATTTTTTCATAGATGAAGGTTAACATTGTCGATATCTACACTCCCACAGTTGCTATCGATAATGTCAACCTTCATCTATGAAAATGTACCCCAAGATTGACTCAAGTTACATGTCTCATATACTAGTAAATTGATGTTTAACAATCTAGTGGTAGTTACGCCACAATACTCCTCCACCAGAATTTTATCAGGGCAAGAATTCGATGAATGGATACCACTAGTTGCTGTATTTGTGAAAGACAGGGAGATCTGGATTAAGGTCACCGGATTTTTGAGCTTTAGCCATAAGAGCTGTATTAAGTTCATGGTTGTGTGTGATCTCATCTTGTGTTGCTCTTAGCAGTTGAGTGCGTGCTGGAACCTTATATGTGTAAATGAAACTAAGAAGCAACCGTGCGAAAAGGACGATGATACAATCACAAATAGCAAGTCAACTGTTCAATGTGTGAACCCTACATCGAAGTAAACGTGATCATATCACGTCCGCAGCTCACCAATGTGGGGATAGTTGTTATCGACAATGTCAACCTTCATCTATGAAAAGATACCCCAAGATTGACTCCAGTTAGCATGTCTTATATACTAGTGAATTGCTGTTTAATAATTGTAGTGGTAGCCACGCAGCACCCATATCCCATTACAAAATGACCATTGCTTTTTCTTGGCAGACGACCACCTAGATAGTCGGATATTAGCCGAGATCTAAAATACAATACTCTGCAGGGAAGAAGCTTAGTGTAAGCAAATGTAGCGAATTTATTTTTCCACAAAAACGTGCCAAAGCATCTTTTTTCTCTCTGAAACTTCTTGGGGACCACTAACCTGTACTTTTGCCTTTTTTTCAGCGAAAAATAATACACCTCTATGCGTGCTGAAGATAAGACAAACTTAAAACTTTTCAATGGTCCTTCTTTGTGGGAACTTCTGTTACAAAAAATTGAGCTGGGAGATACAAATGAAAGAGAGGTTCCTTGATTAAAATATATGTTTTAAACAAACTACATGATTAGGAGCGTACACTTGAAAATTGAACATATAAACAGATTTTAGAGTGTGACTTAATCTTGACTCATTTTTTTTCACTTCATGTTCAAGGAGACTTAGCTTTATAAATGAAGTGCTCAAAATAAAAAGCGAACGCTCAGAATAAATTTTGATATAATATAATGAATTCACATACCCAATCTTAATAGTTCGAGGACTTCGTATTTTAATGAATAGTGCTAAATATATTTTAAGTCGTGAAATCAGACACAAAAAAGTACTTCTCTCAGAATAAACTCACTTCTTTTCAAAACAAAAATTCGTGGAAATTTCGCCTCACGTTCTCGTGGTCTTCCTACCCATGTAACACAAATGAGGCTAGTTGCATCAAAAAGTACTCCACGAAGGCAAATTTCTCCCAAAACTTGCTCCAGGAGTTCACTTGTTTTTTGGATTGGGTTCAAAATTAAAAGGCTATGGAGTTGAACATAGTAGTCGTAGACCCAAAAATTGGATCGGCTGTTCAATGGCTTCCCACACGTGACTGGCGTTGCTGTTCTAATTGATGCTGGATTGTACCTGGTTGAGGGTAGCCTTAATTTAATTTAATTTTAAGGTAGAACTGAGACAAAAGGAGACAGCTGCTAAATTGTCGCTACCATCATTAAGGTAGCTGTTTATTAATGAAGTTGAATAATTTCTGAATGAGAAATTTGTGTGATTTGCAAATTTCCCTGCATTCTGACTGCTCAATCCATACGCATTGCATTATAAAGATTTTAAATTCTCTTCATTCCTTGGATGAGTCTGTTTTATTTTGCAGGATTGAAATACGCGCACTTATGGAGATCGTGGAGTACCTTGACATTTCCATTTAATATATTCGTCAGCGTTCAGATGCGGGCGGCAACTTGTATGAATGGTGTTCTCGATATAAATGTAAACAATAACAATCTCGAGTTCGATACCTGCTCTAGTTCCGGTTAGAAAAGCTCAAATTTGCCGTATTTCATAAGATATTGATATTATTAAGTAATCCTGGTGAGTGTGAAGTGAAAATCTTCTTTAGTTATTTATAGATATATTGTTAAGAAAGGTGTCATGGTTGCTAGATTTTGAATAACTCGCTTTTTTGGCAGTCCTGATTTGGCCTCTTTCCATTTGTTTTTTACTGTTTGTTCTTGTTGCAAGCTGTGCACCATCTAACATCAGTGTTAGCACCTTTATCATTGTAAACACAAGTAATATGTAATCAAATATCACGTTTGCAAGAATTTCAAAACACAATGATCACGTTGTGAGCCAAATGGCTTTAAAATACACCAGAAACAGTAACCCGGAAGTATAGGCGGTATAGAGCTTGCAGCGTTCTCTAGTGTAGAAAACGCCATCCATATGCATGTTCAATTATGCTGTAAATTTCAAGTACAGCTCTAAGCTTATACAGTAAATAATATCTTTTTAAAGAAGAAAAAAAAAGAAATAAGAAAAATAGAATAGATTTTTTTCCGAAGTGAACTGCATAAATCGATTAACAAAAAAGAGTTTATTAAAATATCGATTCGGTCATTTTTTCGCACATTAATATCCGCTATTGGCAATCGAAATTCGCTATTGGCGTAGAGCAGAACTTTCTATCTATGGCAAAACATTGCATGCTTTCCATATTAGCGTGCTGAGAGTCATAGAAGAATATTCTTGATTTTCAAATAGATGAAAATCTTTTAAGTTTGGAAACTATATGGAACTACTACATGAAGCATAGTTCAAATAGAAATCATCATGGAAATATAAAAAAATATTTTCAACAATTCAATACGAAAAATATTAAGAAAAGGACCAAAGGTATGGAACCTGTCTTCTCCCCAAATGTCGTACTCAAGAGCTGCGATAGCCTATATTACCGTTTATCTTATTGGTTAATTTTTAATGATAAACAATTACTTTTGAAAAAATATTCCGATACGAAAACCTTAAGTTATCAAAACCTTTCCTCCTCAGCAATTTTTTCAAACAATTACTTAAAAAGTTATACTAAGGTGCTCTTGCTTAATTAATTGATTTAACGCCTATAATGAATAATTTTTTGGTAGAGTTAAAAATAAATTACAAAATTTATTCCCTGAGAAAAATGGCACGTGAATGGACTTCAACCTTTATGGAACGGAATATATTAACATTTATACGGTATTTTCGAAATTAATAAGCTAGAAGTAAATATAACGATTATGTAAGATTAATAAATTAAAAATTGAAACTTACCTCCTCAGATTAGATATCTATTCCATGTTGTAAATTTTCAGCACCTGCATTAAACCAACCATAAAAAAAATATTTACGAAGACTGGCGATGTGGCGATTTCACAAACAGAAAAAGTCGCCATAACAATTGAAAAGGTAACCCATTTTTGTTGCCATTGAAAAGATAAAACTTTCATTTCCCTTCTCGGTTTCCTATTATCTGTAAAACTCTGTCTCTGGATAATTTCGTCATACGTTGTCATCCTGGTTGTCATGAGTCAGGTTGATTGAATTTCTGATGTTTGGCATTACTGACCTCATTCATGTTTAAGCTTGTGTGTTCTACGCTTTGTATGCGAAGTTTCTTAGCAAGTATAGAGTTCCAAGGAAAATTTCATTTGTTCATCTAAAAATTTGAAAGATCTAAAAAATCAATTAACAACATTCCAACTAGTATTATGAGTACTGGTAAGTCTAAACATTGTGCTTTTCTATTAATTGCTTACAATATAAAAATTCTCTTATCCATAGTTCAAGCTATTAAACCGATCTGAAACTGCTATTTTATTCAATTGTAAACAATATTTTTATGATCGGTATTATTTCCGTATCGTGATTTATGATTACAATCAAAGAATTTATTATTACAAAAGAAAGAAGCTATTAATTGGTTTTTCTAATGGTACTCTTATTACTGAAAGACTCATACTTATTCAGTTTGTATTACAGGAAGTAACTGTGAGTTGTTAATTATTATCTATCTAAATATTGATTTTAATTCCTTTCTGTTAAAATTTAGTCAGATTTTTTTTAGATGAAGTAAAATTTAAGTGTTCCCCAATAATTGTCTGATCTCAATGTTTTTTTTTTTTCCCTCGCAATATTTGTTATTTATTATACTCAAAGAAGAAGAGTATGTCTGACCATGTAAAAAAGAGTTTGGAAGAAATTCAGGCAGCCTTGGGAAAGTTCTTGTTCTAGAAAAATTTCTACAAAAAATTTTGTTAAGTAATTTGAAAAATTTATCACACTGTAGTAAAAGGCTAAAATTTTTAGAGAAATTTTAATGGTAAAACAAACTTTGTTCTTATGAAATATCACCCTCCAAAAATTTTCTACACTCATGCTTATAGCTGTTCTTCAAATTATGAAATAATCATTTTTGTGAATGATATGGAATTTTTATAACTGCTGTGAGTTTGCAACTGTTACTTATGACTCTAAGGCTTGTTTTGAAAGTGGCTCAAAATGTCAATATAGAGAAAAGCAACAGTTTTGTAAAAAGTGAAAAGCATTTGTGGTTTAATTTTTTAATATTTAATAACTTACTCCAATGCTGCATTATTGGGAATCATGAAAATTTGTTAAAACTGAGAATAAGGCAGTGATTTTGATATTTTTTATCTTGGAAGGAAAAATGTTGACAAATTTAAGAAAGTTTAACTTTGGAAATATTTAATTTGTCTGTTCCAAAGCGCAGATTACAACGACCAGATTACGATTTGATTTATGGCCAGATTATATATAGTTAAAAATTATGTCATTGCTTCAAGTTAAGTTATAACTTTTATTTTTCTTGGCAGCAGAACTTCGAAAAGTTGAGTTATGTGCAAAATAAAAAATGGCATCATAACCTTTGATCTAATAATTCGATCTTCATGTTTTAATACTCAATCTTAATGGTTATAAGAAGTGATCTCAAATATGCCAGTAATTAGTGCAGGTGCTACAAAACCAGACTCAAAAATGTTTTTTCTTTGAATAAATAATAATTTTTTGTGTGAGTTAATAAATTTTTTGTGACAAACTGTGATTTTTAAACTCCTAAGATATTGGAGTTGCCACAATCTGGGAAATACTGTCCTAAACAGTTTACTCTGGAGAGCGCTTTAAGGTTTAGATCCCATTATGTTAACTTGACTTTTTGCATATTTCACCATTTCTCAGGGACTTTTTAAGGGAATCAAAACATTTTTGCCCACAATTATAAAATTCGTTCATCTAAAGATAATTGCATACAAAATATGACTTTACATAAATATTTATTATTTTTTAATATTTCATTTAATAACAGTCTGAAATATTTTGAAATATATAAGGTATAAAAATTTTTACATTATTTTGTCAAATAATTTACAAAGATGCCAAATTTGAACAAAATCGATCAAATAGTTCTTGGGAAATCAAATTTAAAAAATACAACTTTTTAAAAATCCTTTGTTTTTTTGTTTGTTTTTTAATTTTGTTCACTGTGCATGAATATTTCCAATATAAGTGAACTGATAGTTAATTATAATTTAGAAAAAAATATAAATGTTTGTTTAAAGGATTTACTTAAATTACTATTAATATTTTGTAGTTATTAGAATAAATTTTCTAGTTATATGTTATTTTGCTATGTTATAATGGCATTAGCATGTCTATATTCTAGCCTATGCAATTCAGCATCAATCGAAAGAATAGTTACAAATTTCGGTCTTTACAAAACTGCAAAATGAATTTGAAGACTACAGAGTCCTTAAGCTTTCTTCTTTTTTTTTTTTCTTTTTTTTTTGTAATCACATATTTCAGGGAAAGGAGAAGTTAAAGTGGGAGTAAATTAAAATTGATTTTATATAGGTACCTTTTCCCGTGGCAAAATCACGGTGATATTGTCACAGATCGTTCCAGAGTTCTTGCTGAAATATTTTTCTTTTACAAAGTTAGAAACGATTACTTTTATTTTCTTCAGAAATTTACACCTGATATTTAAATCATGCATTTAGATAATCACTTTTTGAGGCGCTCAATTTACGCCGATAGTATCATAAATCAATGTAATGTTTCGATTGTATTTTAGGCAGTTATTGATATTGATTTTCACGTGGTTTTTAAATATCCCGATATATTTCAAACAATATGGAAAATTCAAATCATGCATTTGAGTTTTTACTTTTTAAGGTAATAATTCTATTGAATTTTCTGCAGTTATTGCTATTGATTTCTCCATAGTTTTTAAATCAGATATTTTTTGTACAATGTTATTTATTACAACACCTCAATCTCGAAACGAAACACGCAATTATGGGTAACCCCTTTTTGAGGAGTCTGATTTGCATGATTTTGTCATCTATATTTTTTCGGCAAATACTACTACAGATTTCATGATTTTAAAAAAAAAATTTTTTGTGATACTTATTTACAAAAAATGCGAAGAAGAAAGTAATTATTGCCCCCCACCCCTCAACGAAATGCGAGAATATCACCCATAATACAGTACGACCTCGAAAATTCAGACTTCTGAAATCCGGAAATCTCATACGTCTAGTTTGTCAGAAAATTTTTTTAAAAGAAAAATCACTTAAAATAAAAATTTAAATGCAAAAGCACAAAACCGCAACTCTTCTCCAACAATGAAGCAGTAGATGAAGAGGTAGGGGTGGGGAGTGAATGAAAGCTCATAGCTGATAAGGAAATTCCAGTCATTTTTATCAGCTCTGTATAGATAACAAAGAATATGAAGGGGAATCCCCTCAGGAGGAGGAATTCTTCTACCACCTTGTTTTTCCCCCTTGTGAAGAAAGAAAACTGTCTCTTTCTTAACCTAGAAACTTAGGAGGCGGGGACAAGTTCTTTCATCCCCCAACAAAAAAAGGATTAGTATCAGCTGGTACAGTCTTTTCTAAAGGTATCTGTTTTAGTTTATAGTTAAGTTGAAATTCAGCTCGCGTTTTAAGCCTATATTTTTAGTTTTAATTGCTAATATGTATTATGTTATCTAAACGATCGATTACGGGGGGAAATGACGAAAGTTTGATTTTTAATGTCTCTAATTTATTATTTAAAGAGTGTATTTATATTAAAATTGTCGTTGGAGATCTACACACACGCGTTTAATCGCAAAATTGGCCTGGCGAATTCGAAACTTCAATATTTCTATTCAAACCCCCCAGCATTCCGTATTTTCGAGGTTGCACTGTATTAGACTAAAAAATTGTTACATGTTTCATTTTAAAAGTTATCTGGTTTATTTTTTTTAACACAGCACGTTTGTTATTTTAAATTAATAACATAAATGTTTGTTATTAATAAAAATATCTTGCAGAAAGATATTACTGCTAGCGAGTTATGTCGCAGATGGCTCGAAAAAATTCTGCCACAGGGATGAAAACCAATATTTGTGTTGCCTGAAATACCTGAGTTTATGGTGCCATGTAAGCAAAATATATAGATTATTTTATTTCTTTTCTGTATTATTATTTTACTTGTAGGTAGAGGAAGAGGGAGAGGTCGAGGAAGACAGCGTCCTGAAACTGTTCCTGGATCAAGCTGTAGTAGTAACTTTCCGTCGCCGTCTGTAGATCTTATCCAGAGAGAGTCTTCTGCAGGTAGATCCTAATTTATTACTCCCTGCCTCTAATCATGTATTAGCTATACTTCATAGCATAATTTGGGAAGGAACTTCACAATTATGTGTAGTGTACAAAATAAATTTTTGAAAATAAAAAAGACCACGCTGGTAATTTTCCTATCAAGTGATCAAAGGTTGCGTATTTTTGATTTACATATTTTAAAAGCCCTTAACCCTTTCGCGACGCAAAGCGCGAAAGCGCGCTTACCGCTGAGGCCGGCAGTCTCTCTAGCGTGTGTCTCCCCAGGGCCGGAGGGTTCTTTGATGTTAAGCCTAATTCCATGAAATTACCGAAATATCAGCGCGTTGTTTAATATTGTTCTGTAGAGTATTTAAGTGACATATGCTTTATATATATTTCTATTGATACTTTATTTACTTAAGTTATTTCTTGTTTAAATGTAATATAAATATTAATAAGTTTAAATATTTTGCATAATTTCCTCTATTTCCAGCTCAGTTAAAAATTTTCGACGCTTCGACATTCTAACGGTAAAAAGAAAAAAAATTCAAGCCTACAAGATCTAATTATCCACTAAAAACTAATCCGAAAATCGAAAGTAGCGAGAGATAAAAAAAAACTCCCTTACTNAGTCACTGGACGTCATGGATTTTGGCCTTGTTTGAAATTTATTATGGAAAATCATTATTTTCACTGATAAATGCTAAAAAATCATGGAAACTCACAATTCATCTTGGACTTTCAATATTTGAGTTCTTTCTCAAGATTTGAAGATCTCGCTACCCTGCGATTTGCATTCACCTGATTTAAAATCACACAACGTGATCCGCAGTGATTTAAAAAAATCTCATATCATGATCTGTATTTGTGCCATTTTAAAATCACACATTGCGATTTGTATTCACGTGATTTAAAAATCCCTCATCATGATCTGCATTTATGTTGTTTAAAAAATCACACATGGGGATCCGTATTTGTGTGATTTAAAAATCACACATCGCCCTTTATATTCTTGTTATTTAAAAATTACACATAGCAATTCGTATTTTCGATTTAGAAATTACGCATCTCTATCTGCATTCATTGGGTTTAAAAAATCACATATAGTAATCTATATTTATGCAATTTAAAAAATCACACATCGTGATTTGTACTCCTATGATTTTTAAATCTCAGAGTGCTTTCTGAATCCGTGCAATTTAATATCGCAGATGTGACTTATGAGTCACACATTGTCATCTGCGCATGATTTAAAAAGTCTCACAATGAAATCCATATTTGTGTTAATTACACGTCATAATCTCTCTTAATGCTATTTAAAAATCGCAGAGTGTGATTTTCCTATTCTGGTCAATTAAAAAATCACATTTCGAAATATCAAAAATCACACAAATCTGGTTCCATACTTGTGCAATTTAAAAATTACTACTCATGAAACTCATTCGTGTGATTTTAAAGAATTCGACATCATAATCTGTATTATTGCAATTTAAAAACCGCATACTGTGATCCCTATTTGAGCCAATTTTCACTTGACTCCCCGATCTTCATTTGTTTTTAAAAAGATCCAAATTCATGTAATTTCAAAATCATGTGATGTGTTTTATATTTTGGTATGATTTAGATATCAAACAAAATGTAGAGAAAACATGGAAAAAAATTACAGAGCAATTAGAAAAGAGAAAAATAATAAAAATACGAAAAAGAAGAGATAAAATATTTTCATCAGCTCTCACGATTATATCCGCAAAAGGGAGTGCTATCTAATATTGTATCAATATAGCCAAAGCAAAATATATCAATACAATGGTGTGAAGAGCACATAAAGTAAAATATCACATGAAAACAGAGTATAAAATGCAAAGAAAAAACAAAGCATAAAACGAAATCTGTAGTCGAAAGCACTCCTTTTTTGCCAATATAATCGTGTGAGCTGATGAAAAGATTATCAATACAATACAAAAGTGTGGGGAATAAAAATGAGCTGAAGAAAAGATATCTTTAATTTTCCTGATTTTTTTTAAAAAAAATTCTGAATTTTTTTTCTTTGGATTTTTATTATTTTTCTTTTTCCCTTTTATTATTCAGGGTGGCCACTCACTCTGGAAACCGGGAATTCTCAGGGAATTTTGAAATACCACTGGAAAACCGGGAATTCTCAGGGAATTTCACGTCGATTCTGGAAAATAATTTTGTCGCGCGTCGCCGCTCTTTCCTTCCCATTCCGTTATGTTTAGTTTTTCGGAGCGAAACGCATCTGCTTCATCGCGATCAAGCATCAATGTGATTATCCTCCAATGAACGCTTCGTGTCTTCGCGAAAAAGCGGAAATCCGCTTTTTTTCTCCCAATTTTGAAAATTTCCGACCATGTTCCAAAAACTAAAATTTTTGGGAAGTTCTATTGGAGAAGCCCAAGCCGCGACCGATAGTCGGATTACTGCGACTTCCGCTATAGAGTGGAAAGGAGTCAAAGCGTTTCGTTTCGACAGCCGATATTTGATTTTTTTTTTTGTTTTGTTTAGCTGATTTTCGGAATTTTAAATATTAGGAACTGCACCGGAATCTGCGAAAATCGCGATTTTTAATCAGACGATTTTAATATCAATCATCGATTTTCGTATTTAACTGATCTAAAACTTACGTGTTGCAATTTTTTTACGCGATTTAAAAATTGTACTAGCAATTCCTATTCACTAAATTTAAAAATCCAATATCGCGATTTGTATTTAAGCGTTTTTAAAACCCAATATCGCGATTTGTATTCTCGTGAGTTTAAAATCCAACGTCGCGATTCGTATTCACGCATTTTTAAGTCCAATTTTGCGATTCGTTATCAAGCAGTTGTAATATCAGATATCGTTTTTCGTATTTGTACGCTATTTAGAAATTACTCACTGCAATTCGTATTCACGTGATTTAAAAATTTTGCATTGCGATTCGTATTCACGCATTTTTAAGTCCAATTTTGCGATTCGTTATCAAGCAGTTGTAATATCAGATATCGTTTTTCGTATTTGTACGCTATTTAGAAATTACTCACTGCAATTCGTATTCACGTGATTTAAAAATTTTGCATCGCGATTCTTATTTCCGCGATTTAAAAATTCAATATCGCAATTTGTATTTTCGTGTTTTTAAAATCCAACAGCTCGATTCATATTCACGGGATTTTAAAATCCAAAATCGCGATTCATATTCGCGCGATTTTAAAATCCAACCGCGCGATTCATAATCACGCGATTTTAAAATCCCATATCGTGATTCATATTCACGCGATTTTAAAATCCAATATCGTGATTCATATTCACGCGATTTTAAAATCCAAAATCGCGATTTATGTTCACGCGATTTTAAAATCCAATATCGTGATTTGTATTCACGCGATTTTAAAATCCAATATTGTGATTTGAATTTTCGTCTTTTTAAAATCCAAAATCGCGATTCATATTCACGCGATTTTAAAATCCCATATCGTGATTCATATTCACGCTCTTTTAAAATCCCATATCATGATTCATATTCACGCGATTTTAAAATCCAACCGCATGATTCATAATCACGCGATTTTAAAATCCAATATCGTGATTCATATTCACGCGATTTTAAAATCCATAATCGCGATTCGTGTTCACGCGATTTTAAAATCCAATATCGTGATTTGTATTCACGCGATTTTAAAATCCAATATTGTGATTTGTATTTTCGTGTTTTTAAAATCCCATATCGCGATTCATATTCACGCGATTTTAAAATCCCATATCGTGATTCATATTCACGCGATTTTAAAATCCAAAATCGCCATTCATATTCACGCGATTTTAAAATCCAACAGCACGATTCATATTCACGCGATTTTAATATTCAACAGCACGATTCATATTCACGCGATTTTAATATCCAAAATAGCGATTCATATTCACGTGATTTTGAAATCCAAAATCGCGTTTCATATTCACGCAATTTTGAAATCCAAAATCGCGATTCATATTTATGCGATTTTAAAATCCAATATCAAGATTCTTAAAAGAAGTAGAAGTAAGTTTTCTCTTGTATTAGTTACTGTAAAGATGTGATATATTTTTCCTTAGTAAGTAATTTAATAGTGGGGCCTTCCTATAATTGCTTAAATTTTTTTAAATATATTAGTGGTCAAAATTTTAAAATTATATTTAAGAAAAATTTAAAGTTAACTGTCTAAATGCTTCTGCCACTTTAAATATTGAATAAAAATCTCCCAGCATAGTTAAAAGTTGCTTTTATAAATCTCAGTATCATATAGAGCACTCCCTCCTCCCAGTGACCTGCGTTGTAAAAGTTCAGATTTTTTTATTTTTGTCCACTTTCATGCCTGATTATAGGGAGCAATTACAAAAAACCATAGCTAGTTGTGATTATTTAGTTATGGGCTTTGATGAAAGTCTAAATAAAATCGCTCAGTAACAACAAATGGACGTAAGTGTTCGACTTTGGAATAAAGATACAAATAAAGTCCAGACATCTGGTCTTGATCCTGGTGTAATTTTAAATACAGCAATTGCTGAAAAACTGCTTTCATCTTGCCTTTCAATGTTGGCATCTAGCAATTGGATATCAGGTATCAAGGCTGACAGTGTGAAAGATAGTTATAAAACATTCATTCGGAATCCTCTAGCTAAGAGAGAAATGGAGCAATTTGAGAAGACGGAAAAACGACTGGATAATGTTTTCTTCTCTCTATTTGAAGTTAGCAATGCACCAGAAAATTTACGTTCCTTTGTTAAATTTCTCCTCATATTGTCACACGGAAGTGCTTTTATAGAAAGGGGCTTTTCTATTAATTCAGATTGTTTAATAGAAAATCATCATGAAGATAGTTTAGTTGCTCTAAGGCAAATTCATGATGGTGTTATGGATGCTGGTGATGTTGACAATATAACTGTGACGAAATCCATGATAAACTACGGAAAACAGTCTCAAAATGCTTTCAATTATTCACTTGTTGAGCTATTTATACTGTACAATTTGATTAACTCCACTTTTTAAAACATCTCAAACTTAAGTGTCAAAGAATATATTAATATATATATAGGTATATTTTTTTAATTTATATTTAAAATAAGTTTCCCATATAATATAAATGAACAGCATTATATGACTAAATATTTTTGCTTTTCATTTATTGATAATTTATTTCACAAGTAATTTTGATCTCAATTCTAAATTTTTAGTTTGATAGAGTTGATCAATTTGTGTAATAAGCTATTTATATAACAACTTTTTATTTTATACAAAATAAAGTTTCCAAAATTCCTTGAAATGTAGATTTTTATCTTTATAATTTTTATAAACTATTAATAATTTTTAAGTTTATTTTTATGGTTGAATATACAGCAGTTATTTTTTTATATGTAAATTTTATGGCTGCTATTTCAATAATCTATATTTTTAGCAGAAATATGTGTATGAATATATATTTTTTGGTGCTAGAAATGCCTAACTTTTTACACCTGTTTTATCAGAGAACATTTACACTTTTTTCTCATTTTAATGTGTCATCAAATCTTGTAAATGTGTATCCACATTTGTAAAAGAAATTCATACAACACATTTTAAAAGCAACACAGCTGTATATATATATANGTAAATAGCTGTAATGTTTCGATTGTATTTTCGGTATTTATTGATATTGATTTTTCCATTTGATTTTAAATATCGCGATATAATTCAAACAGTATGGAAAATTCGAATCGTGCATTTGAGTATTTACTTTTTAATGCAATAATTCTATCAAATTGTTGGCAGTTATTGCGATTAATTTCTCTGAATTTTTTAAATTCGATATTTTTAATGCCATATTTTTTATAACCTTATCTTGAAACAAAACACGCATTTGCGAAGTACGATTCTCAAGATTTCGTCATCACTCTTTTTTTCTGCAGTTAACTACTACGAACTTCATGATTTTAAATTTTTATTATGTTGATTGTTTACAAAATGTGAAGATTAAAATTTGTGTGTCCCTCTCCAACAGAATGCGAAAATGAGTCCTTTTTTTTGTAAACAGTGTTTTTGTTATTTTAAATTAGTAACATATATGTTATTATTAAAAGTATCTTGCAGAAAGATCTTATCCTAGAGAGCTTAGTTGCAGATAGCTTGAAAAAAATTCTTGATTACCAGGGCTGATTGTGCTCCGGAAAAAATCCGGATTTTTTGCTAACAGTGATCCGGGAGTTTCCGGAGATCGCAGGTCCAAACGTTTCAAATAATCATTGATCACAGAAGTTTTGAATATTTTTGGTGCATCATTATAGAAGATTTTGCCTTTACAAGGTATTTGTCCATCTCACGTAAGTGCATAAAAAATTTGAACGTCTTACATGAAGAAACCTTACCTCCGGTGAACACGTGATTGTAGAGAAATGTGCTTTGAAAGGGGTTTCGTGGTTGTGCTCTGTTCGAAAAGGTTCTAAACAATACCGGTGAATAGGGAAGCTAGATAATGGGGCAGATGATGAAAATAATGAAAGATTTAGGAAGAAAAGTGAAACGGATTTTTTTCTANGATAGTTTGAAGTTTTTGTGTTTAGTTGTAAGAGTGTTCTTGTGCAATTATTATAAAACACTTCTTACTTTGAACAATGTACCAACTTCAAAATTTAAACCTAAATGATAATTTGTAAAATGAGTTTAATCTCGCTGCTCGAACAATATGCTAACACTAATTCATTTTGGTGCACGGTTTGCAACAAGAACAAACAGCAATAAGCAAATAAAAATGAGACTGAATCGGGACTGCCAAAAAAGTTATTTCTTTCTAAATCTAACAACACCTTTTTTGATGATACATTTATAAATAACCGAAACAACTTTTCACTTGAAACTCGCTAGGATTACTTTATATCATTAATATCTTATGAAATACGGCAGCCCTAAAATTATATAATTTATTTCTTGTATTAAAAGCAAAATTATCTGTTTGGAAATATCGCCTTGTAGAATAAGCTGTAGTAAGCAGCTGTATACTTTCTTAACCGGAAGTAGAGCAAGTCAAAAGCTTGTTGTTGTTTACATTTTTATTGGAAACCCCCATCCATATATATATATATATGCTCTTTCTGATGAATCAATTATTCTTTTAATTATCAAATGAAAAACTTTTTTAGAAAAAGTATTCATTTTTACTTTTCAATATATTCTAATTATTAAAAATAATTGATAACTGTAAATATATTATTGATTTTTTAATTTAAAAAAATTTATTAGAAAACTGACACTTCTATAAAAGCTATGATATTTGCAGCCCTTCACTCAGAAAGGCCCCTATTTTAACTTCTTCCCTCCTAAAAAAAACAACTATTTAAGCCTCGCACACTAAAATAATGCAATATCAATTACCATATTTAACCCCTTGTCACCCAAATCAAGTTCGGGCAACTACTATTGCGATGCCCTTTGGGCTGGAGAAAAATTAACTTTTTTATTTTCTGAAACTCGAGCTGAGTTCGTTTCTACTTTAGGATACTTAATTCACTATTTTCCTAATAGATGGCATTGCTGGTTCCAGTTTTCCACCGATTACGATAGAGGGAAATGTGGGGTGGGTGGTTGGAATACACCATACTGTAAAAGATTAGTAAATTTTATGTATTGAAACTAATAGTGTTGGGTTTTTATATTATACTAGTTATATTATATTTAGCTTCAAAATTTTGTTTAATTTGCTCTAATTGAATAAGATGTGCGTGCAATCCATTACTTTTTTATGTGTGTATAAAAATTAGAAGTACAGTAGTTATTGCATTTAAAATTTTATTTTTGTAATAAAAAACTATTTTCTAAATTTTATAATAATGTAAAGAATAAAATTAAACAGTCAAAAAAAATCCATTTTTGGTCCATTTTTCTGAAATGTATAAAACTGCTAAGGAAGGGGTGCACAAATTTTTTGAGTGAAGGGCCGCTTGCACGACACGTAGACTAAGGAATGGCCGCACTCATTTTTAGTCATGCAATGATAGCGGCAAATATCGGGGGTCTGTCCAGACATTTTGTGAAAGGTCCTGTTTTTGTAAAGTTGTGAAAAAAACCTATTCATAATTTGTGAATATAAAATAAGCGTTAAGTCACATTCTTTCAACCAGGGTCCTGCTTTTGTGAATTTGTGTGCAAATAGGGTCCTGTTATAGCAAAAATTGCTAAAAACCTTTTCAAGAAGTTTTTAAATTGTAAATAGATACAGGATTCTGCTCAACAATTGCTGCTACTAAATGAGAGATGCAACATACAAATATTATTATTTGGTATTTAGCCTATACTGCTCAACACAGAATAGCACTCACATTTTTAATAATTTCAATTGGCATATTTTAAATAACACAATTTAGTAACGTATCACTTTTAATGTGTTACGCATTAAGTAAACTTGAACAATTCTTAAATTTATAATATTTTATTTACAAAATTGCCAGAAATTAATTTTTTATTACGTAATATTCTATTAATTTTATGAATAAATATGAATTGATCAATTACACATTTGTGAAAGGGCCGATTAAAAGATAAATTATTTCGTGAAGGATCCAAATTTCTTTTAAACAGGCCCCTGGGTGCAATAATTATTTTCTTTATCGCATTTTGAAAATCATTATCACCTAATGTTAATTTAATTTTATGAAAAAATTTAAATTGATAAGTTATTTATTTACAAAAAAATAATGATTTAATATTAATAAGAATGTGCAAGCGATGTTTGTAAAAGTAAAAATATTTTCTTAGAATACTACATTAGGAATTTAAACTTAGGGAAACTTGTCTCGAACCATCTTTCTCCCTCCCCCCCCCCTCTCAGGAAGAGTTTATTCGATTAACAAATCAATAATGAAGATAAACAAATTTGTGAAGGGTCCGATTAAAAGATAAATTATTTTGTAAAGGGTCCAATTAAAAGATAAATTATTTTGTAAAGGGTCCATTAAGGAACCTAAATTTTTCTAAACAGACTCCTGAATATGATAATTTTTATCTAAACATTAGTGTTCTAAGCACCAAATATTTTTATCAGTAAATATAATAACATAGTTGCAGAAAACTAAATACTTTTAATCATTTGAATTTCTCTAAAACTAAAAAAAATGGTAAATTTTTTTGAAAACTTTTTCCATTTTTCACAATAATTAATGTATTAAATAGTTATATATATTGTTTGTACATAAATATTGGGAGGAGGGTATAAATTTTAACCTTAAAGAAGCTTACAAAATGGAAGTGTAGAAAAAAATATGCATTTTATAGAGTAATATAAATTTGAATTAAATATTTTAATAAAAGAAAATTTTTCATGTTTAAACAAAAACCAAATTAAAATAAATTTTCATGCCGTTCGGAAGTTCCCGCGGCCAGCACATCGACGGTTGTCGGGCCGCATGTGCCCCGCCGGCTACAAGCTGCGTACCCCTATGTTAAGAGGTTAATATATAATGAATTAATTATAAATGACAGTAAATATTTTGGAAAAAAAAGTAATTTAGGATACTTTTCATCTGTCTGCCTATTATTGATTCATAATATTATTTTTCTTCCAGGTGCAGAAAGAGCACCTACAAGACAAGATACAACTTTAGCTGTAGAGAGACTTTCAATCAGTGAAATCTCCAAAAATGAAAAGAAATTAGTTCCCAGACCCGGCTATGGCACAGTTGGCCGTCCCATTCAATTGATAACCAACTATTTCCAAATGAAGTTGAGCGGAGTTGTTTATCACTATGACATAGAAATAACCTCGCTCGATCAGAGGAAGAAGTATGGCAAGAACGTCGCGTCCAGGCAAATCACCGCGGCAGAGGCTGCGCAAGCCGGCATTTCCAGACTGGAACACGAATTGAACCGTGGAGTCGGCAAGGTGAGGCGGAAGGAAGTTTTTGATCATTTTGTCCGGTCCAATTCTCTCGAAAGCTTTAATCCCGTGTTTGATGGCGTGAAGAATGTTTTCACGTCGAAGCTCTTACCGTATAAGGAGAAAAACGTTTTCACCGTAGAGCTAGAGGTGGAACAAAAAAAACGGGGGTACGAAGTAGTCGTACAGCCCGTGAAAAAAGAGAGCGGGACCAATAAGATATTCTTGGAGGCTCTGCAGAATTCGAGCGAGAGCGAGGCCGAAGTGATCATGGCCTTGAATTCGATCATGAACTACAGGCATGCGGGGAGTCAGCAGATTCAAGTTGGAAGATCGTTTTTCTACCTTAATCAGACCAACAAGATAACTCTCGGTGAGGGACTCGAAATTTGGTTCGGTTGTCACCAGAGCGTGCATTCTACCGAGAAAGGAGCGGCCATCGTCATTAATTTAGCGGCTAAAGCCTTTCACAAAGAGGGACCCGTCCTTGGTTACATAAATGACATCCTTAGAAGGGATGTTACGCGAGGTGAACCCATGAAGCCATACGAAATGAAGAATGTCAACGATGCCCTGAAGGGAATAAGAGTAGAAGTAACCCACCTCCCCTACCCGAGGAGGTTTATAGTGGAAGGCATTTCGAAAAAACCCGCTTCGGACATGAACCTAAACACTGCGGATGGTAAAGATCTGACTGTTGCAAAATATTTTGAAATGAGATACGGACGTTTACGCTATCCCTTCTTACCCTGTCTGTTCATGCGGACCAGCAACAAGCAGACCTACATACCCCTCGAGCATTGTAAAGTCATGAAAGGTCAGCCAAAGTTGGGAAAGTTGAGCCCCGCACTCGGTGCGAAGATGATCAAACAGACGGCGATCAATCCGGATAGGAGATTTCAATCCATTGCAAACAGTTCTCAGGACGTGTCTAAAGAGTGCGGCGAAAAGATGAGGAACTACAACTTGCTGTTGGACCTGCGTAACATCCGGGTCAACGGAAGAGTTTTGAATTTTCCGACCCTCGCTTACTACGAGCAAGGTGTCGTCACCCCCGATCAACGCGGCGTCTGGAATTGTAAGCGGTTTTTCAGATCTCAGAACGAGAATTCGTGGATCATAATAGATTTCGCGGAGTGCAACGGGAAGATGATCGACACCTTCGAACAGTACTTCAAGGCCGCCGGAAACAAAGTGGGACTGAATTTCGGTCCTCCGTGCGACGTGAGGCACTGCGGAAGAAACGTGACTGCCGAGATAGCACTGAGAGAAGCGGAAAAGACGAGAGCCGCCTTCGCGATCATCATCCTTTCCAGGAGGGATCGTTTCCATAGCTACGACGAAATCAAATTCATCGCCGATTATCAGCTGCGGTTTATAAACCAGTGCATAGACTCCAACGTGTTGGGTCGCATCAACGATCAGATAGCCACCAACTTGTGCCTCAAGTTAAACGCCAAATTAGGAGGAGTGAATCATATCCTGAGGAACAAGCTCAGAGTGTTCACGAGACCGGTCATGATTCTGGGCGCTGACGCCGTGCACTCACCCCGCGGTGCCAGATGCCCCTCCATCGCGGCCGTCGTCGGGAGCATGGACGCCTTCCCTTCCAAGTACAAAATAGCGTGCCGAGTGCAGGAGAACCCAGACGGGAACAAGATCTCGCAGGAGTTGATTTTGGAGATGCGGCCGATGGTGGCCAATTTACTGAAGGCGTTCTACGACAACACGAGGGGTAAGCACCCCGATAAAATCATATTCTTCAGAGACGGGGTCAGCGAGGGACAGTTTCAGAAAACGTACGAGTACGAAGTGAGCGAGATACAGAAGGCCTGCCAGGACACATTTCAAATAATCATACCCATCACTTTCATAGTGGTACAGAAGAGGCACCAAACACGGTTCATACCGGCTAATACTAGAGATGGTGTGGGCCGTCACGGTAATATCCCACCCGGCACGACCGTGGATAGGGATATAGTACACCCGCACCGGTTCGACTATTTCCTGAACAGCCACGAGGGGATCCAGGGTACCAGCAAGCCTGCCCACTATACAGTTCTTCACGACGACAACAAGTTCAGCCCTGACGAACTTCAAGAGCTTTCCTACCACTTGTGCTACACGTACAACAAATGCAACAGATCTATATCCATTCCAGCCCCGGTGAAATACGCAGATCTGGCCTGCTACCGTGCTAAGAAATTTGCCGATTTTCATCTGCAGAGGGAACAGGACAGTTCGTCTTGTTCGAGTAGCTCCAGCGTCCACCTGTCTGATTATGCGAGGGATGCCATCAACACGATGGGTGACACGGGAAGAAACTTTTTCTTTGTTTAGTTTGTTTTATTTCGTGATAAAGTTTTATGCCGTCCCGAGTTTATTTATTAAAAATTCATGAATTGTGATACTTTTGTGCCTGAGATGTATGCGTTAATATATAGTTTTTTGTAAATATAAGAAAAAGCCTTTAATAAAGCATTTAAATTGTGAGAATTTTTGTTTACTGAACTTTTCAAATCATGTTATTTATACAGTCCAACTCCTCTAACATTCAAGGGACTTAAATTTCGGTTCACTCTATTAGTTCTGCAAACAACTCAACTCTTCCCTTTTATGACACATTATTTAAATAAAAACAATTTGTAGTGTTCATTTTTTATAACTCTTCGTCTTGCGTACAAAAACTATAGGGATGGGAAACGAAGAAGCAAACAAGAAAAAAAAAATGCTTATGGCTGCATTACCCTCAATAGATGGTTTTAAAAATCGGTAGGGTAAACCAACCAGTGAAGGAACATTTCATATATATTGATCAAAAATAAGAATTCGAAAGTTTTTCCTTAGATTGATTGGAAACAATATCTTACCGCCAAACAATAGGAAGTCATCTAGCAATGTTTTGGATTACCTGGTCAAATAGACTTCTCTGGAAAAATTTTTGAATATTTTATAACCTCTGCAACACCTTGTTTCTTTGAAAAAATTATAAGGTGAGTGTTTGTATTTATATGTTTGAAGTGGAATAATAGTTTTATTTTTCTCACTGTGAAAAGGAGAATTCAAAATAAAGTTATTGAAGTTACGTTTTATTTTTTTTTAAGCATCATAGCATAATAAAGTACTGAGACAGTGGCGTACGCAGAATTTTTTCAAGGGGGGTGTTCATGATTTTCTGAAACTACTAAAAGAAATTCGAGTATGTAATAAAGCACTATTATTTCCCTAATTTAGACAGCTAGATAATTTGACTTTTTATTTAGACAACATTGTTTAGTTAAATTTTGATTTGATTTTTTAAGTTTAAGAACATAATGTAATATCTTCTCGCATGTAATATCTTCTGAAAAAAGTCCAATGTCATATGGGTGGGAAGTAACACTTTGAGGGCCACTTTCACATTCATCAGATTTTGATGTGCTAGAAACGTTTTCTTCAACGGAAGTGTCACATTTCTGTTCAACAGAAAAACTTACATTGGTACTAGATGCTGTCACCTCACTAATTTCAGGTCGTGATTTTTTCTCAAAATAATTATAAATTGTTAAATTCTTGCGTTTTGACATCCTAAAGATCCAAGAACAGCAAATATATATATTGGCACAGAAATATCCGCTATGCTACGATCTTAAAGCTTCGAGCTGGAATGAATAACTTCAACGAGCTCAGTATCTCCAATAGTATTGTTACTGATTTCTTCACTAGTCGAAATAACGACGACGACGGGTTCGGCGATTGAATGAACTTTTTGTTAAGACAAAACAAATCAGATTTAGCAACGAGCTCCGAAAGACAAACGGCAGAGATAACTCTTAGTCTGACTAACTAACTCCACTGTTCTCCGTTCCCTCTTTTATATAAATTTTCACCGCAACTCCAAAATTCTCGAATTGTCTCAAACACGACAGAACGTGTAGGATTCCAGAATCATCGCGTAAAGACCTCGCGAATGAAAGCCAGTCTCGAAAACTATCGCGACTGGCAGGACAGAAAGAAACCAGTCCGTAACAGTAACACGTGAATTTGGTTTCCAAAGTACAACCCTATTATAGTAAATGTTTTTTCAGTGTTCTGAGAAATACCGTGAGAAAAAAAAGTAGGCATAAGGCAAATAAAAATATATAGTCTTAAAACATAATAGCCCGCATAATTTCTACTGAAATTTTCATTTTTACCATTTTGTCTGAGCTCAAGGGGGGAGTTTAAACCCCTCCCTTGCGTACGCCACTGTACTGAGATAAGGGGGTGTTTATTCACTGGATCACCAAACGATGAAAAACCAGTGAAGGAACAAGTGTTCCTTTACTGGGTTTTTTTCTAAGTTAAGGAAAATAAAAGATAAACTAATTTTCTTGTACCTTCAGTGATGTTCCTCATCAAAAGTATGTTAAAAATACGAAAAACAACTTCTAACCAGGGAGGGAACAGGCATGTTCCTTTACTGGGTATAGATTTCACAGTGTACAGTTTAACAGTATGTGTTAATATGTTGACACTTTAATTTTCAATTCATGATTACAAAAAAAAGTTAACATTTTCCAAGCATTTATATGTTATAATTTCAAGAATAGGCTTGTTTTTAAATATTTGTATGGCTTATAAATTCATAAAGAGCATTTAAAAATAACCAAAATTAAGTGTTCCTTTACTGGGTGTTCATTCACTGATAAGAGCTGTTCTTTCACTTGGTCTTCTTACTACTTGTTATTTGAACCTCCAAAACTTTATGTAAGTTCTCTAAAAATTTTTTTACATAATTTGCAACTAGTAACATATATGTTGACACTGTCATTTAACTAAAATTCCGAATTTAGAAATTAATATGATTTTTTAAAAGGCAAGCGAAGCTTAAGTGTTCCTTCACTGGTTAGTTAACCCTATATGTATTTTATGTATAAATTTCACAATGAACAAAAATTGAAGAAGAAAAAAGTTCATTACTATCCGATTTCTTCTCTATTTTCGGTTCACTCTATCTATCCACAAAAAATAATATTATATGTGTGTAGCAAGGCACTGGAACGAACATTTTGTTTACTATTGTGAGGTTTGACTGTATTTCCGAGTTACTTTATTATTATTTTTTTTTTTTCCTAAATAAAGTTAGTGAAAGACCAATTATGGATTCTAAAAAAAGAAATTATTTTAGGAAATCACTGGTTTCTTATTTGAAACATTTTAAGTTCTCGGATGCTTCACTTCAATGTTTGGAAGTTTCAAATTCTTAGGGAAGTTCATAAAAAGCCCGTTCTTGCAAAAAAAAAAAAATTTCTTTGGGGAAGTAAAAAAAAATTTTTTTTTTTTTCTGCTGAAATTTTCGAAAGAATTTATCTTCTTTTCTGAATTATATTCAAAAGATGGCCTTTCTCACGCATCCGAGTGGGAAAAAATACTTTTCTATTCTCATTTGAGAACAATGAAAAGTAAAGATATAAAGAAATAATTTCTATTACTTTACTGCACAGATCCTAATTATGATTTTTTTGGATAGTAACTAAAAATGTTTTTCTTTTAAGTGCTTAAAAGGTGCTCATTTTGTGTTGAAAATTCTGGCTACTTACCCTGTATAAGATTTTTGAAGCATTTTTGCCGGGAAAATAACATTTGGAGCTGGTCGGAGAAGTAACATGGTTCTGGAGTAATTTGAGCAGCTGATACAATCCTCGATATCTTCTTTTCTCTAAATACTTTTTTTAATTTCAAGATTTGTACACTAGAACTTCCATTTTAAATAAGATATTTTAATTTAGTTTTTACTAAAACAATGTAATTCTTACTAGCGGAATGTGTATAATTGTAATTCTTACTAGCGTAACGTGACAATAAACATCAGTTTTCGCTGCACTAAACTACTTTACTAAAAAATCTTTTTAACGAAATTTCCTCCTGAAGTATTTTGAAAATATGTTTTGCCAAAAAATCATACATTACGGCGGCAACTTTTTCAAGGACGTTATTAAGACTTATGGAACAAAAATGCACTCATGTTAGTGGTCTTGTCATCCGATAGAAACTTACTAAAAAAAAATTGACCACAAAAATATATCAATCATGGTGCGAAGCGTTTTTCAAAAACCCGTAAAGGGGCTTTTTTCATGGGGGTGCTTAATTTTTCCTGCGTATTATGCTAAAGCGTGGTTTTCACATTGTTCTATTTAACCACAATCCATTTCAGCTTAATACCAATCATGTTTGATGAAATACTTGGGAGCATGTGCAAGATAATCTCATATTCATTTTACACCCTCTAAAATCTTTTTAGGGTGGCTAATATAATCAAGAGTTCAGAAACTAGTTATTTTATCATGTAAATTTTGCATTTTGTTAATGTATAATAGTGCTTATTTTTTGGGGAGAGAGAGTTGGCTACGCACCCTGTCAATATTTCTTTTATTACACTTCTAATTGTTTGCTGGTCATTCTCCTCTTACTTTCATATTTTAGTTCTAAAAAGCACTCCTGCTGTTTTGCTGTCAATGAAAAAAGAAAATATGTATAAGTAAAAAAAAAAAATTTTGTGAATAATTCTAATTTATATCTCTAAGCTTCAATTTTTAATTAAGAGTTTGACAGATTGCAAGGTTTCGTTTTAAGAATCCTAAAATTGCCGAAATAAAAACCTAAATTCTGTCTTTGAATTGAAAACAGTATTCTCATTATCGTCTGTCTTTTCTCGTGTATCGGCCTCAGCATTCTCTTTTCTTAAGACTAACAGTCAGCAGTCTTTAAAATATATGTTTTTTCTTAAAGTTGAATTAACTATGGACAGAAAGATTTTTTTTTGGAGAAAGACAAAATGGAAGTTGACTTTCGGTAATTTAAAAAAGATAGGAAAATTATAAAAAGAATAGTTAACCCTAAGATAGGTTGAAAATATTGGTATAAAAATAGTGAGAGCAAATGTTTTGTGCTACTCAGCATTTTATTTTGTAGTCCAAAAACCATTCGACATAGAAGGTAAAATTTTGAAGAATATACTACTAAATTAAAAATTACATACACATTTGATAAAGAGTTATCGACTGTTAAACCAGTAGTAAAAAATTACCACTGAAATGCTATCTACAAAATTGAAGAGTTGATGAACTTTTTTTTTCTCTTAAAAATAATAATTTGTTTTTTTTCGAGGTTACATTTTGTTTTGCTGTACAAAAACTATAAGACTTATAAACTTCAAATTACGCACTGGAGTCACGTTTGTGAGTTCGAATCCAGCCGGCCAAAGACTCTAAATGGTGACTAGTACACTTCAAATCCGTCGGATCACAAAGTCCTCCATGCTCCCATAACAAATCAAAACCTCTGGGGGTACTGCATTCGAAATGGATCGTTCTCTGGTTCGGGACAAAATTATTATCTGTGAACTAATGAATGGGTCCGCCCTATAAAACGGCAGAATTCTTGGCCATAGACGGCGCCACTAGAGAAAAACAAGAACAATCGCTCTGCTTTAATGGTCGGCGACAACAACAGCAACTTGAAATTAAGATTATTACATACAGAAAAAGGACTATAATGCAATAAATGAAAACAAAATAGGATTCCATTATTAGTTCGAAATTTCAGAGTTTTGGGTAGATCTTTTTTTATTTGGGGGAAAGTAAACGTTTTTTTTCCCCTTCAAAATTCCAATTTTAAGTGGTTTTTACTCAACATTTGTTGTTGTCCTGTAATATTTAGCATTCCTGATTGAAAATATTACGTTCTGATTTTTAAAATTTTGCCGTAATAATTGTGTCAGTAGAAGAGAAATAATTAAAAAAAAAAAAAAAAACTAGGTTCCATCAAAGTCAAAACTAGTATTCGAAAAAATAAACCAAAACCTGTCACGTGAAAAATAACTTATCTCTAACAGGGCGCGTAGCCAAATTATTCAACAAAAAATAAGTACTTTTCAAACACTCAAAAAATATTTTTAAGCACTTTAAAAAAATATAATTAGGATGGGTAGGAAAGTTTTTGACAATTAACGGTTTTATCTTATTTTAACCATCTTGTCAAAAAAAAAAAAAACTTTTGGCATTGTTTATGACAATTGTCAAAAAATCATGAAATTTTGAATCAGGTAAAACGAATGTTGTTTTCATAAGCAACCGACTGGCAATACGCCGAAATAAATTGGGGTAGAATTAATTGTGAAAATGTTGAATAGAACAATGTGAACTGTGTCTTTTTGCATAATTCGAACCGAAAATCAACATAATAAAGGAAAAATCTCATTTTTGAAAAAGGGAAAAATTAAGCACTTTTTTAAAACATTCCAATGTAAAAAGCACCTTTAAAGGCTTTTAAAAATCGAAAGTATGCACCTTTGAAGCATTTTTTAAAAACGACAAGCCAAAAGAAAATAAAAAAATTCTTGTATTTGCAAGAGTGTCACACTATCGAATTTCTTATTAACATTTCTTTGAAAATAAATTAGAAAATGAACTTGAAATTACGAATTCGGAATAAATGAAAAGGATAAAAATCATTTGCAAAATTCTTTTTCGCTATTGAAAATCATCCACGTATATGAAAAAACGCACGTCTTCTTCCATTTATTTTAAATAATGTATATAAACTCGGAAATCTATTTAACAAAGATGCTAAATCCCGATAATAAGCTCGTTATAAGGAAAATTCGTTCAATAGAAAATCCCCTTTTGAAATACTTAAACTCTAGACATAATTAAAACAGCAATTCATCACATTTTTATCTTGTAAACTAGTATCTACTATTAATTTTAACCGTAAAAGAAATCTGCATGGAAGGCAAGAATAGAGCAAAACATTATCCAGTACATGCTACAGACCTTTTCAACTAATAAAAGCTAAATTTATGTATAAAATGATAGCTGTATTTATTATAAAAGTAATTTTAAACAACCATTACCACATGCGCTCTTAAGTTTAATGGCTACTGATAAAATCCGTTATTAAATTTTCTCTGAGTTTTTCGTTCGAAATGCAAACACAAAAAAGGATTTTACTGCTTTCTCTAAAAGTGAATTAGCTTTGAAAATCAATTTAAGGTCATTTCCTCCATTAAATGCGGTTTGAAATATTTTGGGAAAGTGGATCTCAAAGAAAAGTTAATTTAATAACTCCTTCACTTTGCTATTTGGAAGTGTGTAAAGGTGTGAATGTATTACTCATAATACATTAGGAAAAAAAAAAACGTTACTATTGTCAAGCAGAACAAAGAAAGAAACTTTTAAGGAAATATTAAACATGTGGTACTGCTCTAGTGCAGGGTATACTACATAGCAGTCCGTTTTGTTCAAAAATGAAACTACAGTCGGACCTCTATTTAACGAAGTCGCTAAATCCCGAAAAAAAGTTCGTTACATGGAAAATTCGTTAAATAGAAAATCATCTTTTGAAATACTTACACAACGTAGAATAGGTTTTAAATTCATGGATACTAGAAATAATTAAAATTGCAATTGATGCACCTTTATCTTGTAATTTTTTTCTTTAATAGTCAGGCACTTTCGCTTCGACATTTTGCAGCCGTAAGAAAAGCAACAAGCAGCACTCTGATCAGCAATCTTAAAACAGGAGCTCTACGGAGTGAACAACAAGAAAGTTTTTCTAGAAAGGAAGTGAACAGTGGGGGTGGAGATAATAGGACATGTCAATAAGGGACCAGGGACCACACACTTTGATGACCCATTCCTTTTATCTTCTCTGCTCATTTCCTATTCAAGGAATTTGACCCTTTCCCCCCTTTTCTAGTGGGATTGCATTTCCTGTATGAAATGCAAACAAAAAGGGAAAGGAATTTTACTGCTTTCTCTAAAAGTTAAGGGGATGCGAAAATCAGTTCAANGCCCCCCCCCCCCCGCTTTCTTGTTCCACTGGATCTGAAAAGCAGTATCTTTTTTATTGCATTGTCATCATTCGAATCACGTGGGCCATCCAATTCATTCCGTTTATTTTTATGTATTTAATAATATCGGGTTGTGTTTATAAATCTTGTACAGTTCAAAGTTAAATCTTCTTCTCCAGTTATTGTTTTCATTTACCCCATCCAGTATACTCCGCAAAATCTTTCTCTCAAATATTTGCGATACAATTTTCCTCCAGTTTTGTCATTGTCCAAGCTTCAGAAGCATATGTCAAGACTGGACTGACAAGAGTTTTGTAAATTAAGAATTTTCTTTTTCTTGAAAGAAACCTAGATTTAATAAATCTTCTCAGCCCTATTTGCTAGATAGAGTCGGTTTTTAATTTCAGGAGTCACATTCTGTTGTCAATAGTAATCATTGATCCTAAGTGAGTAAAATTCCTTACTGTTTTCTTGTTTCTTAATAATATCATATTAAAATATTGGGACTTAATAAACCACCCGGATATTAGTAGCAATAACTACAGAAAAAGTTTCAGTATCATCTTGGCAAAAAGTGCCTAAAAAGTGCACGCATTGAATTTCGTCTGTTGTAATGATAATGTATTAAAAAAAAATAGAGAGATTTTAAATATAAAAAAAACATTGAGAAAATTTGTAGCAATAATAGTGGATAAAAGGATTGGCTGTTATTGCGACAAATGGATGGATTTTTGATGGTATCTAAACAAGATGAGAGCATCCAAAAGTGATTCATCAAACGTGTAATTCAAATTTTGAATATTGTAATAACATCGGAATTTTTAAAACTGTGAAAAAATAGATTGCATTATCAGCAATTGAAAAAAAAGTGATTGAAACATGGATTTATAACGGTAGAGAGTGCATTGAAAAGTCATTATTGAAATGCGCAATTCGAAATTTCAAACAAAGTCGTAATGTTATATAAAAAATAATTCAATTTTATTGCAGCCAAATAAAAAAAAAGAGGCAAACATATCACATTGATTAAATAATTCTTCTGTTGAAAATTCGAATTTGCAACAAATTTGCTACTCATTAAAATATAAGTTAAAAAAAGGAGAAAAACACCATTTTTTCTAGCAAACAATCTTTTCAATGTTTACCATTTCAAAATTATTTTTTAGGTTACCAATTTTATACTTTCGTATTTGCTTCAGTAGTTTCTTAATTTCAGCTATAGTCATTCTAGAATATTTTTTCTCTGAGTTCCAAAATTGAGTTTTTCTCAAATAAGCCTTCTTAAAAAAAGAAAGCTGTAATAGATGGTTAATTTTGCAACAAATTATCTTGATCTAGCACAATTACTTTTTAACTTAGTACATTTGCAAAGTTAGCCTTGCGAACAGATTTCTTAGCAATATGAACAGATTATACTATAAATTTATTAAAAAAATAATTTTATTCTTTTCTATAAGGAAATATAAAACTTTAAAGTGAAGAATAGTACAATTTTTTTTAAATTTTTTTTTTACAATAAATGCATCAATTAAACATTTTAATAGAAATTTATCACCATCGAAACAAGCAACATTTATGCAGCAGGTAACTTAGCCTCACAGAGAACTGGAGTAATGAGTATTACTTTGGACGCTAATGACCAGAGGAAAAAAATGAATGCTGAGGACAAAAATATTCATAAAAACTGGCAATTATCACAATATAATACGAAATGTGTCAATGTACAATTTTTACAATAAGGTAACAATAAGTTACTTTGAAATAAAATGCCTGGCAGTAATAATGACTCATTGTAGAGCATAAAATACTGTTTTTTTTTTTAAAAAAAAAGAAATAACAAAAGATTTAATGAAGCTTTTTTAAATACTAAAAACGAAGAAACTTAATATTTAATTTGAACAATATAAAAGAACTTCCAAATAAGATAGTAAGATACATAAATAAAATACACAATGATTTTGAATTGGATGTATCAGCAGTATTAATTGTTATATTAACTAAACCTGTCATCAAATTAGCAAGCAGAAAATAAAAAAGGCCATTATAGTTGAGAACATTCCACAATAAATTTTCATGTAATTTAACTTTGAGTAACTTCTTGATGATATCAACAATTAAAAAATGACACAAATGAAGTGAAATCTGTAAGCTTGTCAGTGAAACCTGAAAAAATATAAATAATGTTTTTAGGATAAACAAAAATAGTACAAATCACAGAGCAGGGAATAGTCAGAGAAAATAAATAATTCCAAGTCCCAACTAAAAAGTAAATTTCTTAAACTAAAGACAAAAATCAAGTTATACAAAACACTCGTACGGCCTGTGATCCTATATGGTAGTGAGTGCTGGACTCCTAATAAAAAAGAGAACAAATTGCTGGTTCTTGAGAGAGGGATACTTAGAAGAATATTTGGTGCAGGTCTATGAGAATAACAAATGGCGCCCCCTTTACAATCATAAGTTATATAAGAAGTATAAACAACCAGACATAGTTCATGTTGTTAAGGTCAATCGGATTCGATGGTTGGGACAACTTTATTGACCTGAAGATCAATACCCCGCAAAAAAAGTAATTCTTTTTAAGCCAGAAGGTAGAAGAAAAAAGGGTCGTCTACTGACTAGGTGGCTGAACGCAGTTGAGAGGGACTTAAAGATAATGGGAATAACTGACTGGAAGGTCATGGCACAGAAGAGATGAAGATGGCAAAAACTTATTGGAACGGCCTTGGCCTGTCATTGGTTGTAGTGCCCAAGAAGAAGAAGAATTCGAAATTCCAAAAATTAACTAAAACATTTGAGTATAATCTGTTCCCCACAAAAAATTTATATAGAGTGTCCCAAAACTCATGGTATATGTAATAGAGAACAACTAGACAAGTACATATCGCCATACAATCCATGGTCCAAAAACAATGCAGCAGAGGGCTTTTAATTTTATGTCTTTTTCTTATAGAGTCATACAGTGGCGTAGTTTTATTGTATATTTGGAGGGGGTAATCACTTAGTCTTCTGACGGTCGCTGTAAAAGATTTTTCAAAATGTTAGTAAATGAACAAGTAAAGAATAAGAAGATTTTTCAATAATTAAACATTGAAGAGCTAAGTATGCTAACAAATAGATCACATTTACAAATTTTTTTAATTATTGATTTGTCGTGGTAGGTTGATATTTTTATTTTTTAAACTTTAAATTGAAGATTTAATACGTCAAACTACTATAATGTTGCAACTAATAAGAAGTTTTTTTCTCAACGGCCTAACAAGTTTGCAGCTATGCATATATATATGTATTCAAAATGCTTAAATTGTGAAAAAAATTTATAATAAAAAAAATTTATGTCTGCATCTTACTTACCAAAGCAAATAGCTCATTAATCAAGTAATGTATGATTTCGGAGGGGGTTTTCGTCCCCCAAACACATCCCCAAAACTACGCCACTGGAGTCATATGAAGAGCCTCATCTTCGAAGATTCACCTAAAGACCTGACACTTAGCTGCCAACTCTACTGGAAAATCCAGTAGAGTACTGGCTAAATAAAAATTCTCCTGGTTTTTTGTACATTTTAGAAAATTCCCTAAAATTGAGTAAGTTTCCTTAAAAAAAATCCCTATCGAAATAGAATTTTTGTGCAGATTATAGCTTGTTTGAATATTTAAATACGTGTCACATAGTAAAGCGAAAATCTCATTTATAAAATTCAGTTAACTTCTTCGATGAATTAAATGCCTATCATTATTCAAAATTATGAATAAAGATAGCGCTTCAAAGACCATTAAATGTGAAATGATATCTAGAAAATATGGCCGTTTTTCGAATTTAATGACTATTAAAATCCTTAAAATTCCCTATCTGTAATATATTTTGCAAGAATTTTCATGAAATTTATATTATTTAGTAAAATCTACTGGAATTTTTCCCTATTCGAGTTGGCAGCTATGCCGACATCATAAGAAAGATGACACAAAGTTACTCCTTCGAGTGATTGAAACTTGCCACAACTTTGAACAGTTCCAGTGTTTTGTTGAATAAAATGTCATTCCATCTCTGTCTTGTTTCTCATCATTTTGTGCATGCTTTGTGCTTTACAACTTGCGTTGCAACTTTATGATTTGTGCTTGTCTTCTATCACCCCTAATAAATGTACCATGAGTTTTGGGACAACCTTCTGATTTATCTTAATAAATCGACTTTAATCACTATATAACATTCCATAAAACTTTTTTACTTCAGCAATGCATTTAAAATTATATCTAATAGGCTTTGTGGCGTCGCTGCTTATGAAGCGAACTGAAGTGGTCCTGATCTTCAAACTATAAATGCTGTGACATGGATTTGATATTTGCTCTTTACATATTCTTTTTCAAGCAGCTGTATTTAACGAGAACATGTTGGGTGTGTGGACTCTGTTGTGTTTTGTGGAAATAAATGTTTTATTTGGATATTTTCACGAGTCTAATTTCCTGAACCCAGGATAATTCTAGAATTTGTGTCTGGCTGGGATAGCCTGGTTGGTAGGGTACTGGGCCCTTGTCCAAGAGGTCTTGGGTTAGATCCCTGCGGCCGAAGATTACCTGTGCAGTAAATGGTGACTGATGCACGCTAAATTTGTTTAGTCACAAAGTCCTTCATGTTCCCATAATAAAGCATACCTCTGGGGGTACTGATCCAGGAGTTTCCTTGTCTTCTGGATTGGTTCAAAATGAAAAAGGCTACGTAGTTGAACATTAGTAGTCGTAAACCCAAAACATTGGATTGGTTGTTCAAGGACGGTTAAAAAAAAAAAAAAAGAATTTGCGTCTAGATGAAACCAAAGTCTTATCAAATTCCAAAATGTTTTTCAGAAAAAAGTTAATTCAACATTCTCAAAGAAAACATTGCAAGTTCAATAGAGTGACTGCCAGTAATAAAATCAACTGCTGATAATAAAAAAACCCAATCCGTAAGGTGTACGGGATCATTACGATATCGAAACATGCTAAAACCATCCTTTTACAAAACAGTGATCACCATGTTGCAAAATCAAAATTTTAGTAAGACATAGGTTCAAAATAAATAAAAACTCAGTTTTTTTATTTTCTCTCAAATTTTGTAAAGCAAATAAATAACAAATTTTATTGTGCCATCTTCAAACAAAAAGAACAAAGTTACATTTGTGGATGACACTTCTTTAGGAAAATTGAATGATGAAAGTTAAATTATGAAACATAAGAATGTAAAAGAATCTGCATGTAAATTGTTTATGAATTTAAAAAAAATTATGGAAATGTTTATCATCATCCTTCAATGTCACTCATTCAGTAAATCAATCAAAGATGAACAAAGAAAAGGAACTAAAATAAAAACTCTCTACAACAATATTTTGGGGATCAAATAAACATATTGTTATAGAGGGATATGTTGTTTATATAGAGGGCCAACATACTGTGGGCACACAATAACATTTTTTTCTCAATTTAACTGTTATATATGTATTAACTATAAGTATATATATTATATAAAAAATTTATTTGCAGAGTGGTAATTATGGTTAAATATTAAAATGAAATAAATTCAGAAAATAAGATCTTAAACATACCCTGAAAACCGTTTTTAATGAAAATAATCTGATATTTTTCTTTGTTTACTCATTTTTTTGAATGTCAAGTCAACCAACAAAGTATGCAAAAATGATTTTTGTTTGTGAATGGTGCTCCACCCACCCTCTGCAGAAAAAGTTCTTTTTCCGGTGTTATTGTGATGCTTGTGGTCATTTGTGACTCGTGATCAGCATTTAACATGAAGGAAATGAAATTATATAGGAACGTTATATCTGTGACTTCTTAAGAGATATGGGAGGAAATTTCTAAGAATGGAAGCTCTTGGGGTGGTCAGCAGCGAGTCTTCTCTTGTCAGAAAAGATAGAAAAAAAGTCAAAAGATGATAAAATAAGATTTTTTTTTACATTATTTAAAAACCAATAATAAATGGAGAAAATAAGGTTGAAATTTTAGAAAAAAAATCATTTTATGGGGGTTTACTGCTTCAGAGAATATCATAATATTGAGAGGAGCATGACATTAATTCATAAGCAAGTTTGTCGGGACCACGAGACATTATCGTAATAAGAAGAGTTATTGTTGTGTTGGATATCGCAGTAGCTGTATTGAAAATTTCAAAAACTTTTATAAACTTCCAAACCATGTTTTTTTTTTTAAATCAAACAAACATGCCAATATTTCAAGACTTTTCTGGAATTTTTTTCAAAAAATGTAGCTATAGTAAAAATAAAATAGAAATATACAAAACAATTTTGTTTTTAGTGTGAATTTTAACTTTTAAAATTTATTTCCTAAGTGTAGATATTGTGGTCTAATTTATGAAATCAGCTGTTTTACAAAATAAATGTGATGTTAATGGGTGGCAGGCACTGTATTAAGAAAACAGAATTCTAACTGTCTGTTATATATGTTTCAATCTTTTTGTTTTGCTTATGGATGGCTATCCTACAACGTGGGTGTGGAATAGCCATCCTAGTGTATTGTGCATGTATAGCATTCTTGAGTACTTTTCATCAAAATCTGCAATAACTTTCAATTCAATTTTAGTAAGTATTGCTTTTTAGTTGTACAAAAATTTATATTGTATTGACAAGCAATTAGTCACAATTAGGCTGTAAGATGCTGTTATTCATTATAAAATTGTGTACAAACTTTTCTATTACGATAAAATCAAAATATTGTTCTGCAGTAACTGATATGTTTCTAAAGCATATACAACTTATCCTAACATAAATGATTTGAAGAAAAAAAAAGGAAATTCAAAAAGGTCATTAGCAATTTTTAAATATTTAGAATTTAATTTTATCAGTTATTAAAACTTTACAAATGTTTGGAGTTCATTCACGTAAGAATGAGTGTAAAAATAAAGGAAGCAAATCTTCTTCAAGGAAAAAAATATGCCAGAGCTATTATTATGACCCATCGGAACTCTTGTCACACAAAAAGTGCAGTAATTGTCACTTTATTGCAAATTTTGTTGCACAAAAAAAAATTTCTTCACAATGTGAGAATAGTATTTTATATTATTTTGCAACTGGTAATGAATTCATAAATAATGGATACAGATTATTTTCAACACTAAAAGTTTGATAACATATTTAAAGAGTCTCACTTGTGATCATTATGGGGTTCTATCTTCAGGATGCGCAGCCAGACTTTTCAACAAAAAATAAGCACCTTTTAAGTACTTTTTAAGTACTCAAAAAGCATTTCTAATCACTTTCCAAAAAAAAAATCATAATTATGCCAGATAAAAATTATTTTTTCTATCGTTTGTTAAGTTCTTAATTTATGAACATAAAATCAAAAACATTTTTAAAAACTTTACATGATCATGATAAAATAACTAGTTCCTGATAAATATTGCAGATGTAAAAATCATGCATTTTTTATAATTTAGAAAGACAGTCGACATGGCAAAGAAAAAATCTCTTTTTAAAAGGTAGAAAATTAAGCACTTTTTACAAATCCGAAATAAAAGAAGCACCTTTAAAGGCTCTTAAAAAATGTAAATCAAAATTAAGAACCTTTAAGTACTTTTCAAAAAATGCTATGCATCCTGATCTTTAGAGGTAGCCCAGTCAACTACAAGTTTTATGTTGTGCCCTCTCTAATGCACTTTTATGGGCTTTGCTTTCTCATTCATTGATGAAAAGGCAGCTTAAAATGGGATTTGCTCTGATTGAATAATCTTCACAAAACAAAGGGTTCTCCAATTACAAAAGCAGTTACAGGGGTCTGTCAAGGGCAAATTTATTACCGTTTAGCGGTAACTTCACAACTGCAACTTTATGAAAAAATGGTATTTTTACAAAATACTTTTGAAAAAGCAAGTTCAAAGATTCTCCCCCCACCACACTTCTTAAAATTTTGTTTTTGTATCCCCGTAAGAAACGATAAATCCTGAGTTAATTTCGCATACACGAATATGTAGGACATGCTTGGTCAGACAGTGCGGTATGGTAAGAATAACTGTTCGCTGGAGCGACCAGTTATTCTTATAGTGGATATTATAGCGAGTGAGCTTTTTTTTTTAAAAAATTAAATGCCGAGGCGCTTCCTGTGTAAACTTTACAGGAAGTTAATTATTACAATTTACATTTATGTTGAATTTACAGGAAATTCAAATATTATTCTAAATATTCGAACATTGATCTAAACTTATTCTAATAGACCTTTATTTTTTCCGAAACATTTTTTTCTGTGTGATACTTTTTATGATATGACCACGTGGGAAATGTTCTCATAATGAAAATAACTTTTAGTGAAAGTAAGGTTAATTAATGTTTTTTTTCTTTTAAGTTCATGTTGTTAAGGTCAACAATAGACAATGATTTTTATGGATTTTTAAATTTAGATACAATTTTAAACCCAAAATTTTACAATAACAAAATTATTTTTTAATATAAAGGGAAAAATATATATTAAAATTTACCATATTTTTGTGTTGATTTGTTTAATATAATTTTTAACTTTCACAAATTATGTCTAAATTTCCACAAAATAGGTACCTCTCATAAAAACCTAGACAGACCCCTGAGTTACAAATGGGTTCTTTCAGTAAATATTATTATGATAAAAGAGAAAATAGAATTACTTACAATCCATATGCAATAAGATAAGTTAGCCATTCTTCGGGAGACATGTTGGCAATTCTCATGAAAAATAAGCATCAAAATCCATCCACACAAACCAAGGCAACACAGCTTCACAAGTAGATAACAATAGTCTCTGTAACAATAATCGTAAATGAACTAAATACATAGTCATCAAAATGGAAAAACTGCAATATTTTCCAGTTATGATGGACATTAAACATACTTGAAATGCTATCTATTACGCATACTCTTCATTTCAAACATTAATAGGCATTCAATTTATCAAAGATAGTTAAAAGATTTCTTTCATTAATTTAAAAAGAGAGTTCAGAATAAAAATAAACTTAAAATTTTATAAAAAAAAGTTTTGAACTGATTTCTATAAATGAGGTCATTATGTATTAGTAATACTTATTTAAATATTCCAGCAAGCAATAATCTGTTCGAAAACTCTATTTAAGTAGGGATTTTTTTAGGAAACTTACTCAATTTTAGGGAATTTTATAAAATGTACAAACACCAGGAACATTTTAATTAAACCAGAAAACTAGGAGAAACTGGCAAATTCAGTAGAGTTTGCCCATATGTAAATAATTTTGTTTTCTTTTTATCATAGATATCAACTGTTTTATTTTATTTTATTAATTGCTAGATAACACTGAGGAACAAAACTTTCTTGGTTTCTGCTGCATGAGATTTTTGAATGGAATTTTAGGTATTTTTATGTCACTTCAAATCTGAAATCAATTTTTATGCATTTCAATAGCATATTCCCAATCAGGATTTTTTTTTATTATTTATTTAAATTCCAGGGTTCTCACTCAATCAGAAAAAAAAAACCCGGACTTTTCCAGGTAAATTTAAATGAAAATCGAGACCCTTACTTTCATCATAAAACTTTGATTCCTTTTATTAGTGATGTGAAACATTAGATTTTCTGCGTAAAAAAATATAATTAAATAAGGATGGGAGCATTTAAGTTTGACTAAAATGTGAAATTTTTATAACAAAGAGTTGTAATACTTGTTAGAATTATTTAACTCAAGTCTCAATAACTGATTGCTTTTCCGGACAATTTTAAGACTGGTTATTTTCCAGGTATGGACATTTAGGAATATTTTTGTAAAAAAAGTGCAGCTTTCCCATTCCCTGATTTTTAAAGTTAAAAAAAAATTCTCCTATAATTCCAGGATTTCCTTGTTCTCTCTGACCTGTGGGAAGCCGGAATTCACTCAAAAGAATACTAAATGTCCCCACTTCTCTGGTACATAGAGAGAGTGGTAGAAAAATGGTGATAATACATTTCAGCTAAGGATGCAATACATTAAGGTCATATCTTTTTTTGCCTTAAGTGTTATTTTAAAAAGAGCAAAGAACTGTATTAAGTATGTATATAAACCTATACATTCTTTATAAACTTGTACATTCAGGCAAAAAATAAATAAAAATAAAAATATTGCGTCGAAAAAAATCTGTAGCTTTCCGAACACAACTCATTTCATATTTTGAATCTTTGCAACAAAAAATGTGTTCCCTAGTGAAATTAAAATTTTTAATTAAGCTTTAAAAAAAACTTGAATGAAGCTAAAACTTTAATTAAAATTAAAACTATATCTCTCAAACAAACATAAAGCAATTAATTAGAATACAAAAGTTAATTTAGCAATGTATCAGTAACACAGTCTGGCAATAAATCAGAGTGAATGGAAAAAATGTTCTTCAACTTAAAGATTTGTCAGAATAACATAACTGAAGAGTAGTGAAAAAACAAAGAAGAGAAAAACATTTTAAGTTGGTCATTCATGATTGGAAAAATTACAGGGTGTGTCTCTCAACAAAAAAAAAAAAACACCTTTTAAATAACTAGTTTCTGACAAACAAACTCTTTTCTTGATTACATTATAAAATGATCGAGAGATTTTTCGGTTCGACATCAGAGGGTGGAAGCCAGAGAATATCTTGCAAAATGCAGCAGAGATGCACGTGAGAGTGCTCCATACGTGGGGACTAGCAAGTATTTCATTGAACATGTAAAAGCGCTTTCATACACTATGGACAGACCGAAATAGATGGTGGTTGAATGAAATGTGAAAATATTTTGATAATGAGTGAAAATTACTTAGTGAAATTTTAAAATTGAGGATCAAATTCATTTATGACATAATATTAAATTTTTTTTTGTTAAATTTTAATGGTGTTAAGCGAGTGCCCTTTTCTAGGCGCTGTGGCTCTTTCTTATTCGTAGGGAGAACTCTGAAAATTATAAATAATTTGATAAACTGAGAAAAGTATATTTAGAACCACTGTAATGATGAAAAAAAGAAATGGAATGGAATGTCTTTATCAAAATAGACAAACAGGACTGAATTAGAAAGAGACTGAAATTGCAGAGCCAAAATGCCTGGACTGAAACAAAATTCAAACAAACTGCTACTTTTCATTAAAAAGTTAATAAAAAAATTCTGTTTCCTAATATTTAAAACACTTTTTGTCAACTGACAATTGCAATCAGTTGTACATTGATAGTTAAATTTAAACAAACAAACATTCTGCAGGAGAGCAAAAATAAACATTTTCCACCTCATTTAAATTCAAGCACTCTGCACAAAATTGAGGTAATTGAACAATGTGATACTAGTTTTGAATAAAGAGATGTCAATACTTTGAATAACAAATTAATTTTGGGATCCCTGTTTATGATTTGATGTTCATCAATAGCCTCTTGTTATTCATAATTATCTATAATACCTTACTTCATTCATTATGATTTTGTATAAAGTATATCATAGCTTTGAAACAAATTTGCTTTCATTCAGAATTAGAGTGAGTTTTCGATCAGATAAGATGCGTGTGTGTTCTTTTGACAAATAAATAAAATTGTCCAACATTACCAATTAATTTATAACACAAAGATTGAGCTTTTAAAAGGAAAATTTTGAAAATGAAATAAATGAAAACTAATCAGTTGTCAAATTGTTTAAAACAATTGTTCCGAACAAAATTAATTTTTTTCATCATTTTGAAAAATCATTTAGTTAATACTATAAAATATTTAAAAACTAGAGTATTATTACAGATGACAAACTGCAGACAATAACTAACACAGTTATCATCATCATCAATGGCTGGACAGCACAGGGTGGGCCTTGGCCTTCTCAAGAAGTTTTTTTCAGGCTAACATTTTTCATGAAAGGGTTTTTAGTTTAAAAACAAAAATTTAATTAAAAAAACTTAAGACCAAAAGGTCTTTTTCTAGGCCATCTATCCATCTCAAATTCGGCCTACCTTTTTTTTGTGTGCCAATTGGTCTGGCATTGAAAATTCTTTTTGTGGTACGGTCTTCATCCATTCTGATAACGTAGCTTGCCCATTTTATTTCTTCGTTGTTAAATGAAGTTAATAATGTCAGGCTCATTATATGAGTGATAAAGCTCTAAATTTGTTTTCCTAAGCCACACACCAATTTTTTGAATTCCTCTGAATATACTTCTCAAGACCTTTCTTTCAAAGGTACCCAATCAGGGCTTAATCCAGGTTTTCAATCCTAGTACCTATTTTTGTGAAGAAAAAAAATTTTTTTTGTGAAAAAAAAATTTTTTTCTGTGAAAATTTAGTATTGCTAAAAAAAAAAATAAAAAAAACTACATATGTATACAAAAAGTACAATACTATAAAAAAACAGTCACATATTGCGCAAGGAATTGCTTATAAGACAGCTTGCAGATTAATTCCATTTATTAATTCAATGTAAATTATACAGCCAGCCAGCATAGAAATTATGGAATTTACTATACAGATTAATATTATGGTTAAAAATTAGATTTACATAAAGTTGAAAATTTTTTTTTAACTTACTTACTAATAAAATGTATTGAACTTATTATGATTAAGAAATTATTATTTTGATATTGTGCTAAGTTTTACTTTTGAATTAATGGTGGAAAAAATAATAGAAATACAGAATACATAGATAAAATTATAATAACTGCTCGGAAAACTATTCAGCACTTTAATTCCTTCGAACTTTTTTTTTATTTTCGCGAAGATGCGTTTTTTTCCAAAGTTCGTTGAAATACTGATTTTTTATTTTTATTTTGTGAAGGTACCGATTTTTTTTAAAAAATTTTGTGAAGGTATCGATTTTTTTTAAAATTTTGTGAAGGTACCGAAAAACGGTACCAAAATCGACCTGGATTAAGCCCTGCCAATATAACCTCATCTGTACAAGATATGGTCACAAGCATATGTTAATTGATCTTAAAGGAGATTTATATAATAAAGCATCTCCTTTTTCGATGAATTACAATAGATTTTCATCAAAACATCTATATAATGATTCCCCTTTGTATTACGGAACCCAAGTAAACAAAGTTGTCAGCAACCTCAAATTTATATTCTTCAATTTTTAAATGGGTGTTATTGAAGCGTGTTTCAGTACAGGCTTTGTTCTCGTTTATTATCAGTCCCATCTTGAAATCAGTTAGCCTCCAACCCATAATTAAGAAAATGAGTTTTTTTTTTTTCGTTTGTAGTGTTATACTTCAACTATGACCTAATGTTGTTCGTAAAAACTGGCCGTCAGAAAGATTGATTCAAAAGATTTGAATCATAGAAGTTGCCTTCATTTAAATGTATCTAGCTTCTGAATGCTAATATCTGTTGAGTTCATGTTTGCAAAAAAATATACAAGGTATTTATAAAGTCCCGGACCCATTTTGATGTTTAATAACTCATAAAATAATAAAGATAGATTAAAATTAATAACATAAATGGTTAGATAGACTCAAAAAGTTTCATGACCCTTGTCAATGAACTTCCATGTGTGCCCCCTTCGTCGCACGGAGAATATCAAGTCGATAGTCAATTTCACGCCAGGTGACGGCAAGCATGTCGGCATCCACAAAGGCTATTGCGGTTGTAATTCTGACTTTTAGGTAATCAATGTTTGACACGATCCTCCTGTAAACATTGTCCTTTATAAATCCCCGAAGACAAAAGTCCAGCGGCGTTATATCAGGTAATCTGGGCGGCCAAGGAATTGGACCTCCTCGCCCAATCCATCTTCCTGGAAAATGGTCATTCAAAGAACTACGAACGATGATACCCCAATGAGGTGGTATACCATCTTGTTGCAAAAAGACATGTGGCTGAACCTCTTCTAGTTGTGGAAATACGAAGTTTTCCAACATGTTTAAGTATACGACAGATGAGACCGTCTTTTCTGTAAAAAAGAAAGGCTCAATGACTCGGTCATGCATTAGTCCACCCCACACATTAACTTTGGGGAATCCCTTTGTGTCTCACGGTATTCATGGGGGTTTTCAGATCCCCATATGCGCATGTTATGACGATTAACAATGCCAGAAACATGAAAGGATGCTTCGTTGGAGAACATTACGCGCTTCAGAAAATCAGCAGCATCTTCTATCCTTCCTACCATATCTGTTGCAAACGCCATCCTCCTAGGCCTATCGTCCGGTTCCAAACCTTGAACAATTTAAACTTTGTATGCATGCAGTCTTAATTGTTTCTTAATAACCTTGTACACAGTCAAAATTGGCATATCCAATTCTCTTGCCGCTGATCTCACAGATCTTCTAGGATTGTCTAAAAATGTCTGTCTGACACGCTCAACGTCAAAATCACTTGTGCAGGGACGTCCGGAACTGTCTTATCTGCGATACCTCCAGTTTCTAGAAAATTCTTTTTCCACCCCAAGATACTGCTTTTGGATGGAGGATCTTTTTGGTAAATTCTTCTGCAATTTCTCTGTGCTTGCACGATCGATTTCGTTTCTATGAACCACCATAAAATCTATGCTTTCTCTTGTGGTGTATGCATTCTCCTTAATATCCGCTTGAATAAAACATCACACAGAAAAGTACTACATAGAACAAACACATCAAAAGTAAACAAAACATTCCAATAGTTGCCAAAAACAAAAGAGAGAAAAATGCAATTAATAAGTAGACAATATTTAGAAAAGTTCAGATATTTAGACTGGAAAATGAAATTATCTGAAATTAACCACACGCGCAGACGATATTTACAAAAGTAAAGATATTCAAACCTGAAAAGGAAAATATATGAGTTATTCCATCAATAAATGCCATAAGTTTGTTTATATCTTCATTATTTTAAGAGTTATTAAACATCAAAATGGGTCCGGGAATTTATAAACACCCTGTATATTTAAATTTTATACAAAGATACGAGTTGCTTTTGGCAATTAGCTGGTCTGTCTATTTAATTTTTGATTCATTTATTTATTTATTTTTTTGGACAAAAATTAGCCAACCTAATGAAAAATTAGCCTGATTTTAAAGAAAAACATAATAAGATATCAATTAATGCAAGTCCTATCTTCTTTATAAATTTAAACACATTAAATAAACTCTTTTCAACAAATATTTTCTGTTTTAATTTCAAATAGGAAGAAATAAATGAGACATTATTATGATAGAAATTCTAATTAGAAACTTACTTTTTTCCCCAAGCCACATGACCCAGTTGAACACCAAAAAAGTAAAGTGAGACAAAGCCGAGTAGTGAACAAATGCCTTCTTTGTTGGCTTCTAACAAATTCCGTCGTTCAGGTGATGAGACAAAATCAGACAATCCCAGTTTTGTGAGAAGAAACTGATGAATGATCACAATGATAACAGCTAACAGCCCAGCATTGACTTTAAATATCGCTAGAATGCTTGAACACATTACCTGTGAAATTCATAAGAAAAAAATTAACATTTAAAGCAAATAATTAATTTAGAGTTATTTGCTAGAAACCGTTATAGTAAAGACTACAGTAGACCTCATTTCTCAGGGGACCATTCATTACAAAAAAAAAAAAACTTTTAAATATCAAATAATGACTAGAATATGTATAAAAATTTAAAAATTTTCTAAAAGATAAAAAGAAAGAATTAAGTACTTGTTGAAAAGATATTTACTATGCAAAAGAAGGATCCCTTTGGCAGACTTTTTTGAGCTATCTGAGACAAAATTCACTAGCACTAATATCTTTCTGCAAGATACTTTCAATAATAACAAGTATATATGTTACAAATTTAAAATAACAAAAGTGCTGTGTTTACAAAAAAGAACTATATATAAATAAATTTTTTTTAATTGAACATGTAATAATTTTTTATTCTAATATGGGTGATATTCTCGAATTTTGTTGGTGTAGGGGTGCACACATTATTTCCTTCTTTGTACTTTGTAAATAATCATCACAATAAAGGAATAAATTAAAAGTCATGAGATCTGTTGTAGAAATTGCCGAAAAAGAAATGATCGACGACGAAATCACGTGAATCTCAAATGCGTGTTTCATTTCAAGATTAGGTTGTTGTAATAAATAATATCGTATAAAAAAATATCGGAATTAAAAACTATGGCAATAACTGCCAAAAATTCAATAGAATTATTGCTTTAAAAAGTAAATACTCAAATGTAACGATTCAAATTTCCATATAGTTCGAAATATATTGGGATATTTAAAAGCCACCTGAAAATCAATATCAATAACTGCTGAAAATGCATGATTAAAATAGTATATGTAAATTTCCGTAGAAAAGGAAAATACTAGTATTTTTTTATTTTTTTTACCTTTCAAAAGAAAAAATTTTCTGCAAGAACTCTCTGTTCTGTACAATGTCGCCGTGTAGCTGCGATCCTGCCACGGGGAGAAGGATAAATAAATATATTTATTTAAATACTTGGAAATTTTGGCTCTCTTTCATCCCAGTGCAAAGAATAAATTTTCAACATTTGCTACAGCGTCCTGAAAATTCGTGTGAATACTCATTGTTTTAAATACTTTGCAACTTCCCACAAATGTTTGTTATAATTTGTTGAATTAAGTTCGGCCTTCATCGATATCACTTTGTACTTCCTCAGCTTCTGTCATTTCTGACAACTTCAACATTTCTTATTTGAGAATTTTTACCCAAACTGTAACAAATCCACGTTTTCTTTATCCTTATTATCAGGAGTTACTGTTTTTCTTCACAAAACAAATTCAATATTTTTTTCAAATGTTGGTAAAATTTCTGAATGATAGATACGATAATCTGGTAGTTTCAAAAATGATCTACAATTATCAACATTAAAAGAATAGAATTTGTAAAGGGACAGTTAAAATAATACAATGTAAGTGGGAAAGTGAAAGATGTGAGAACGATGGATTGTGATTCTACTGTATTAAAGAATTAATCGTATTTTACATACAGTGTAAATTTTTTTTAAAAAAATGAACTGAATAATTTATTATGTAATAATTTGATTAATGCACAAACTTTTAAGGTTCAAGTGGTAGATCTTGAATATTTAAAATAACTAGTGCAGACTATATTTTAAGTTGTAATATCAGATGCAAAATTGTACTTTTCTTTGAATAGTAAATATACCTTTTCTTTTTTGGCGGATTCAAATTTCTGACACTCAAAAGATGGAATGTACAGAAAATAGGGTCCCAATAGTTTAGTAAGGAGTCAATTTGATCCCTTTAATTTAACTTTTTTGAATATTTCACCAAATCTTCAAAACTGTTTAAGAATTTTGCACACAGTAATCAAACTTGTTTATCCTGAAATAATTTCACTGAAAAAATAGGCTTTTATCATTTTCTTTTTATAAGGATCAGAAAAATGTTTAAATTGTAAGGTATACAAATGCTACTTTACTTGAAATATGTAATTTTGAACAACTAGAATCCAAAATCAATCAAATAATTCTGGAAAAATAACATTTAAAAATGAAGTTTTATTGTTATGAAATTGTTTTCTCTGAAACAATTAAAAAAAATTTATTCAAATTCTGGATTTTACTATTTAAAATTAACCAGTGAAAGAAAAAAAATAAGATCATTATTAAATTAAATAATAAATAGCTAAGTGAAAATTATAATGTTTAGTAATTAATTCTATTTTTAATTCATTATAAATTCAATATAAGAATGTTTCTATCAGTTAAATATAACAGAATAGTTGAATTTATTATATTTCATATTGAAACAGACACTAATTTTTCTAAAAAAAAACAATATCTAAAATAATTTAGAAAGTTATTCACACATTTTTTTTCAAAATAACAATTTCTTAAAAAATGTCTTTTTCATTATTTTTAATAGAATTAATAAATATAATAATTTACACAAACTTTTTGATTAAAATTATATTGACTGTCATAAATATATTTATTATTAACAACAACCAAATAATAACAAAAGATTATTTATACATACTATTACCATTTACCACAATGTTAGACTCTTTGTAATTTGAAAAAAGATTATTATTAACAACAACCAAATAATAACAAAAGATTATTTATACATACTATTACCATTTACCACAATGTTAGACTCTTTGTAATTTGAACAAAGATTATTATAAACATTAAGTAATTGAACTGATCCGTACAAAATTTCCACCCAACATTATGTTAAAATTTCTTTACCACAGTAGACTCTCTGAAATTTGCATAGCTTAGGCTTTGAGAACTTTAGAATTTGGCAGATTTTACATCGATTATTTGTTTACATTTTCCCTGCTTATTTTTAAACTTATATTCATATGTATATAGAAGGTTAATGGAAAGAAAAACCAATTTTATTTAAGTAAAATTGATGATAATTATACTTAATAATTTTTAATCCTTTTCCCAGTTTTTATTCAAATTTAAATAATATCAGATTTTTAATAATATCAATTAGCTTGTGCAATATAATTATAGATGTCATCATTAAAATTATTATAATTTGGAAATCAAACTTTAACTAATACAGGGGTCTGTCTAGGTTTTTTTAAAAGGAATTTTTTTGTGAAAATTTAGGCATAATTTGTGAAATTATATCAAAATAATCAATACAAAAATATGGTAAAGTAAGAAAATACTTTTAAAACNTGGGAACCGTGTCTTAACGATCAGTCCACTGCGGGAAATCAAACTTTAACTAATACAGGGGTCTGCCTAGGTTTTTTAAGAGGAATTATTTTGTGAAAATTTAGGCATAATTTGTGAAATTATATCAAAATAATCAATACAAAAATATGGTAAAGTAAGAAAATATTTTTAAAAAAATAAAAATAATTTAAGAACTAAAAATACTAATCACTAAAAATAAGGAAAATTTATGACGCTAATTTCTATACATTTTTCTCCATATATTCAAAAATAATTTTGATATTGTAAAACTTTGGGCTTTTGAAATTGTATTCAAATTTAAAAATTCATAAAAATCATTTTTCACAGTTAAATTTCAATGTAATAAAAACATGTATTTAACAGTACTAGCACTAAAAGTTATTTTCATTATAAGAACATTTTCAACTAGATCATACAGAAAAAAGTTTCCCAGAGAAAAAAAACATGTTTCATAAAAGATAAAGGTCGGTTAAAATAAATTTACAATAGCGTTTAAGAAAATGTTCGAATGTTAAGAATAATGTTTAAACTTCGATTTCCTGTAAAATTTATAGAGAGAGAGAGCCTTGTCCGTTCATTTTTTTAAAAAAAAAAACTCAGCAAAGAAAAGCTTGCTTTGATATGGCATAAATGACCGGTTAGGCTTATCACATTGCACTAGCTGACCAAACACCTGCTACTTTTTCGTAGACAGTTCGCAGAAAAGCTCCTCTTTTCCATAGATTGCAAGGAAAACTTGCCTTTTTAAAAGTATTTGGTAAAACTATCGTTTTTCCTAAAGTTTAATTTGTGAAGGTACCGCTAAACGGTATTAAATTTACTCTGGCCAGACCACAATTGCTGTAATAGTAAGTAGTTTAACAGCGCAAAATCAGTGAGGATTTTAGAGGTTGGTAAGTTTGCGGGTTAGAAATTTTAGAGATCTATAATTCAAATAGTTTCTTTCTGTAGATTTATTTTCAGTTACTTTGAAGTCTGCCCCAGAGTAAATCTGATAAATTCCCCACTTTTTTAATAAGTGTACACTAAGAAAGATTTCTTTTTGTGAAAACTCGGATATACCTTGCGAAAAGGGTATCTTTTATGTTGAAGATTTGTGCTACTTTTACGAGACAAAATCGTGTGTAATAAAATGTGTATGTGAGCTGATGCAACGTTTGTTAGTTGGTGAATCCTTTCTGTTTCTGGCAGTGATATGAAATAAATAAATGAATTTGCCAATGAATTGAACTTACTCGACTCTGTGTGTGTGTGTTTTTTTTCCATAATTGTTTTATCAATCGCCACAGATCGTTATGTCTTCGACATGTAGGGTGAGTAGCCATGTTTTACTTAATAGTTAGTACAGATAATATTCATACTTACAAGAATGCTATTTCCTTATATTTTTTACATGCATCACTCCTTATCATTATATTAATTGCTCTTGTTTATTAACTTATTTCTAAATTTTGACCCAATGGACCTATTGGGTTATTCGGTGTTCAACAATGCTGGACCACCACTATTCGGCCTATACTTAACGCAATTTAACGTATAATTATTTAACCTTACTCTATTCATTTAAATTGTAATTTGTTTTAATTCCTTATGCATTCTTGTGGGTTTGACTTGCCACATACACGATTTTTATGGTTTTCCTTAGATCTCATGTACTTAAATTGTGAATCAATTGTCTCTCTTGTACGAGTATCAGGCATTAATTTTTATTAGTCATTTAAGATTAACCTTATTTTTAATCTTAACATTTATTAATTGTTTCAATTTCATAACTTGATTATTTTCAATTTTTAATTCCTTTAATCTTTAACAAACTTCCATTAATTAAACTTTTACACTTTTCCTTTTTCTTCGCTTCCCAGTAAGTTAATTCAAAGAAGTTTCTCCAGTTTTTACTTACTTTCATGATGGTTGCAATACTAATTTTTATTTACACAAACTTAAAAATTATCTTAAGCATGTGTAACATTTAGTTAATTTTAACTGCTGATACACAGATTTATCAAAACATTTTATGTTTTGGTGAGTAAAATGTGCATCTGTCACCAAAAACATTGTACACAAAAGATATTATTTGAATTCTTATAAAATATTATTATAACATTTTAAATGTATTTGGAAAAGAAAGAAAATTCTTAATTCAAACTAAACTCCTCAAAAACTTTCAAATGAAGTAACTCAACTCACCTTTGTAAAAGCGAGGGTGAAAAAGAAATTCCAATGAATTCCATATTCTTGGACAACTTTATGATAGCCAACAGACGTTGTTAATGCAAGTCTCAAGAAACCCAAAATGAGGAGAGGGAAAGATGTCTTAAAACACTTTTTCATACTGCAATAACATGATTTATTTTATTTTGATTACTTTTTATATAAAATATAAAACATTTCTTATTATGTATACAATCAAATTAATTCAATACATAATTATAGGATTGAAGAATATAATCGGGTGATTACTACAACTATCTGTTACACCCACACTACAATCAATATAATGTTTTCTCCAGATGTCATTGCCATTAGCCCATTCATGCTGCTTTAGTGTGATACTAACAATAATATCATAAACTTTTTGGTCAGATTTTACACATTTTTAACAAATCTTCTTTCAAAAATTTACCCATAAAATTTCTGCAGAATAATTACAAATAATAGTAAAAAATCAAGACTCTCTCACAATAAGTTTCCAGTTTACTTTTGAATGTTCAGAGTATTATCACATATTAGTTTTATTTTAGAATTATTTTGTAAATATTTTAACAAATCTTCTTTCAAAAATTTACCCATAAAATTTCTACAGAATAATTAGAATTAAAGGTAAAAAATCAAGAATCTCATAATAAGTTTGCCTCACATGTTTTCCATTTTACTATTTAGAGAATTATTCAGAGTATCATCAAATATTCGTTTAATTTTAGAGTTATTTTGCAACTATTTAAACTGCATTTCATATCATTCAGGGTTGGATTATTTGAATATTACAAGAAGCCGCGTGGAAGCATTTCCTTTGGCTTTACTGCGCAAATCTTCTTAAATTTTAATAGATTTTTGCATGATTTTTTTAAATAGTGATTTACATATTTGTTACCAATTTAAAAGATCACAAGCACTTTGTGCTTATAAAAAAAAAAAGGTTTGCACTTATAGAATAAAGCTGAATATATATATATATATATATATTCTAAATTGTAAAAGTAATTTTTTTCCTCAACATATAAAATAAATATTGTTAGATCTCAAAAATATACGCCTACGCGTTTTACCCTTATCGAGCCCCCCACTCCACTTTGCATCTCTGTCAGAGAGGCAAGCATTCGTTCAATCAAGAACTTCGAACAAGGAAGTTCACTTGTCAGCTCTCTCATGAGCTATCTTTCATTGTTTACTGCTATTGCAGCAGTCATAATAATTTTCAATTTTCTTCGTGTATATAGTTCATTATGTTATTAAGTTTGTTTAATAAATGTTAAATAAAAACACTACAGTCCGCTTTCTGTTACATACAATGCACAAATATATATTGTAATATTATGGGTGACATTTTCACATTTTGAAGGGAAGAAACTATTTAATTCTTCCCTTCTTTCACATTTTGCAAATCATAATCATGTTAATTTTAAAAAGAGAGAGAGAGATTTTAAGAGTCATGAAATTTTCAATATTAATAACTAAACGATGACAGACAATGAGATTTTAATAAGCCATGTTAAAATTAGAAGCAATAATTGCTGAAAAAAATGATTAAAACACCATATTGCAAATTGATTTATGTAAGAACTATCACAAGCCCCAAGTTATTTGAAATTTTAATATCATTAGATCATGTAAAAACTGTTAAACCGATTCTTTTTCAACCAAATAAAAAAATGAGATACAAATGTACCACATTGCTTGAATAACTATTCTTAAACAAATCTAAATTTATATCAAAATCTCCCCTCAGTCGTACATTGAAATGTAAAACATTAAGTTCTTTAAGATATGAAGAAAAAAATTACAATTTCTAGATCGAATAATCTTATTAATGTTCATGATTTTGGAAATACTTTTCATATTATCAACTTCAAATTCTAGTCTAACAGTCTCTGTAAATCAAAGTTTGCATTTTTTTTTAAAAAATCGTCATTGAGCGTGAGCAAGTGGTTAAGTAGGGATTGTATGGAAACTATAGCACAGTATGTTCTCCACATTGAGATTAATTGGTTTAATTGGTTTCAATTAAGATTGAGATTAATTGGTTTCAAATTAATTGGTCAAGTTTAAATTGATTGGGTATTTACATTAATAGTTGACATAAGACTCATATAAAAAAATCTTTAAACTGCATTTATTATGCTCTTTAAGTCCTAATTTTAAATGATAAATTTAACAACTTATATGAAGGTCATTTTATGTAATTCTTGAATATTTTTTATGCAAACAATAAATAAATATTTTTAAAAATAGAAAATGTTCAGAAATTTTTTTTTTTAAACATGAAATACAGCAAAACCTCGCTACAACACTGTTATGGGGACCCAATAAATAGAGTGCTGCAGAGGAATGTATTATTATATCGATGGCCTACATACTTTGGGAACACAATAAAAAAATTTTTAATTTTAATGTTATATATGTATTAACTCTAAATCTATTTATATATTACATAAAAATTTAATTTAAAGAGTGGTAATTAAGGTTAAATATGAAATCAGATAGGAATGTTACATCTGTGATTTCATAAGAGACAAGGGAGGCAATTCTAAGAATGGAAGGTCTTGGGGTGGTTTACGTACATCAAGGATGGTGTATTGAAACTTGAATACAAATATCAGCAAAACATTTCAATGCTTACAATCATAGACAAGATGTTGGAGCAGATGAAAGCTAACACAGTGGAAGCAAATGATGCTTACAACTGTGGCTACAGATTGGGAATCTCAAAAAGTGTCCTTTTGCAATTATGAAAGGCGTCTAAGGAGCATATTTTCTACATTTAATTTGATTATTTTATGCGACAATATTTGTATAATTTTAATAATCCAAAAATGTACTTAGTTTCATTTCTTCAATCAATCTCTATAGTCAATTATTCCGAAAAATGTAACTGTTACTTTTCAATTGTCAAGCGGTGAATTTATTTTTGATGAGCAATTAAGCGAGTAAATAATTTATCTTAAAGAGGTAATGTTCACAATTTCAGAAAAAATTTTAAAAATAGAAAAATTCTAGCACAATTATAGATTTCTTTCATGTAATGATGATGAAATTTTTATTAAAAACAAATCAAACCTATTTTCCTTGAGCTGCTTTCCATGAGCTGAACAGAGACCGTGAAGCAAAACAAAAGATCCAACACCAGCATCCATGACTGACCACCCAAACATTTCAGTCTTTGCAAACTTTGAAGGGAAAATTCGGAAATCGACAGCCAAAATACAGATTGAAGTGGCCAACAGTAAATGACCTCGATAGTCTCCAATATAAGATCTGTTGACATCTTTTTCTTTTGCCCAATCTCTGAAATGAAGGTTTTAATACTGTATAGTCCATTAATTTCTAGTAATTGTTATTGAAAATCAAACAAAAATTAGAAATGAAATTTAAAAATTGTGAGACTTTTATTGGATTTTAGTAAGCTATTCAATTACAGCATCTCTTAAATTTGTGGGGAAAGTGAGTGGTTATCGTCATCTGTGGTACCTCACCATAGATTTGAATTATATTTCTGTAGTGATAAATACACTCACCCACCAGAATTATATCTGTGATAGAATTCGATGAATGGATACCACAATGCTGTTTTTGTGAGAAGCTGTATTAAGATCACCGTACTTATTTTAGTGCTGATTGTGAGGACTGTATTAAGTTCACGGTCGTGCACAAGCCCGTGTTGACTTTTAGCAGCCAAGTGTACATGCTGTGTGTGATTGAGACTGAGAAGCAAAAGCGTGAGGAGGACAATGTCGCAGTCACAACTATCAAGTCAACAGTTCAATGTGGACCATCCATCGAAGTAGGCGTGTTCAAATCATGGTGGGAGTTTCTGCCTAGGAAGGCATGTTCACATCCTGTCTGGGTGACCAATGTGAGAGGAGTCACATCGACTATGTTAACATTCATCAATGAAAAGGTATGCCACCATAGAACGACTTAACATGTTTTATAAACTGGTGAATTGGAATTATATTTTTGTGGTGGTAGATGCACTACAAATACGCAAACAAGTATCTCGCTACAGTTAGAAATTCTTTTTATTTTTCAATTTTAATTCCTGTTCCTGCAAAATAGTATTTTCAAAGTATGGTTACTGTTAATTTCTCTGCTTATTTTTGCTAACTATTAGTCAGTGCTTGCAATGAAGAATTCTAAAATAGTAAAATTAATATATTATAAATTTTAAACTAAAATTTTTAATTAAAATAGTTAAGGATAACAGGTTAAGAATTCGATATTGCCGAAAATAAATCAACACTTTCAAGAATCTACCTATACTTAAAATTTCACTTAATGTAATTTAGTTTATTTGCATAATTTCAGCAAATACCATTAAGTTGTTTTTGTTTCACTAAAGCTAAATAATAATAAAAAATAATCTTAAACAAAATGAAAAGAAATTCTAGTGTCCATTCTTTATTATTTATTAAATAATTAAAAAATAGAAAGTAATGTTTAGATGTTTTCTCGATAATTTTATTCTTTGAGTAAATAGGAACTTTACAATGGCGATAAGTTGTTTTTATATGTATTTATAAATTTTAATTCCTGTTTCTGTAGTGTAGAACTAAATAAATGCATATGGTAGATTTCTAATACTCTTATAACATAGATTAATGCAAATAAAATAAAGTAAATAAAAACTACTGGAATATATTTTTTATCTACTGGAATTTAAAGTTAATAAATATTAAAGTAGTCAGCGGCTGCATGTTGTTTTAAAACTTTTCCCAATTTTACGAAGATTTTTGGGAAATTCTACAAAATTTCCAGAATTAATAAATTTTCTGATAACTCCTGGTTTCCCTTATCACTGGATACCCTATTTTTTTCACTCTATTCTAAAATATTTATACGTGAATCAAATTGAAGATTGAATTTTACATTGAGAAGTCTAATAGGTTAACAAGTAGTTATTTTAATTCAATTTTATATTGTAAAAAAAATCATATACAACTGCTTATTAAGACAGAAGTTAAACTATTCAATAGTTATCATAAAGTCTCTCTCTCTTTGCAGAGCAAAATATACAGCATGCACAACTTACTTTATCTTCAGATTTATTTCTCTGAATGTAAACTTGTGGAAGGCAAACCAAAATGCAAAAGCAAGCAATATGATGTAAATAATAAACAGTAATAGAAGATGATCACTGAATGAAGTAAGAATAAGTAACAGAACCACATTAAGAATTACAACTTCAAGATATACAAAGATCCTAAAAATAAAATATATATATAAATTAAGAAAGTAGAACATACAAAGTAAAATGCATTTTGTTGAAGTGACACAATTATTTTCACTCATGAATAAAAGGAAGAAAAAAAGTTTCTTTAGAGCTTTGGAAATAATTATTAGAATAAAAGAAAATTTTCATACGTGAAAAGTAAAGTCTAAAAACATGAAGGAAATATTTTGAAATTAAGATTAAGAGTTACACTTTAATTTATTAAAAAGGACAATAAACTATTAACAAAACCCGGCTAAGCTAGTACAATGTGTTAAATGTGTACAGGTTAAAATTACTTAGACAAGCAATGGGGAAAAAAAACTAGCAGCTGAAATCTATTAGAAAAAAAAGAAGAGATTTTATAAAAATAACTATTATTAATCCACATGTCACAAGCGTGATTTTTTGCTTGAAATCATTTGCTTATAATACTCAAGTTGTTTTGAATAACATAAAATTTAATTATAAAAATTAATACCCTTTAAAACCATTCAGACAATTGGCTTTGCAACACAAAAACCACTTGTCAATATCAGACTGGTTGAAATTACAATCTTGACTAAGGCGGAACTAAAATATGAAAATTGGTATAAAATATGAATTTATTACAATTTTTGCCGAAAAGGCATTATCTGACCACCCCTATTTTACATCATCAATTTAAAAATACCTGTGGCACAATTGTGGCAACATGACAGCATTGTCGCAAAGTTCTTGTAGGAAGATTTTTCCTTTAGGAAGTAAAAAATTATGGTTTTTCTTTTCTGCAAAAATTTTTGAAAGATTTCATCTTTTCCTTAGATTTATATTCAAAAGATGCCTTTCTCCTGCATCGGAGTGGAAAAAAAATGCTTGTGATTTTTCTATTTTCATTTGAGAACAATGAAAACTAAAGAATAATTAGGTAAAAAAATTTCGTTTTCTTTTCTGCAGAAATTTCCGGTCTATATGCAGTTATTACTATTGATTTTCACATACTTTTTAAAATCCTATATTTTTAACATGATGTTATTTATAACAACAACTGAATCTTGAAATGAAAACACTCATTCAGTAACCCCTTTTTGAAGAGTTCGATTTGCGTGCATTCGCCTTTGATCTCTTTTTTTTTTCGGTAGTTACTGTTACAGATCTCAAATTCTTTTTCAGTGCGATTTTATACAAAATGCGAAAAAGGAAATAATTAGTGTGTTCTACCCCTACAAAATGCGAGAATATCGGCCATAATATTAGAATAGAAAAATTACATATTTAGTTTAAAAAAATTTTTTATTTCATCCAATTTATTTATTTATTTGCTTTTTTTGTTGTTGACGCTTTTGTTACTTTAAATAAGTAACTTTCTTATTTGTTATTATTAAAAGTATCTTGCAGAAAGATATTATTATTAGAGAGGTTTGTTGCATAAAGCCCGAAAAAATTCTGCCACAGGGTTAAAAATATTCTACCTTTGCTTCTAACTAAGAGTAGCAAAATAATATTAAGGATTACAATCAAGTCTTGTCAGATATTTTATATTATTTGTTTAACTCACTTATCTGAATAAAAAATACTTGAAATTATGAGCATCAACAATGAAGAAGCAGGAACAAAGAAGGTCACCAGAAACACTTCTATGGGAGATGTTCCAACATTCCCTTCTAATGAAATCATCATCATCACCTAACTGAAGAAGTACATTTCATTATTAAGTTATGTAGCATTTTATACTATGAATAAATCAGACTTGGCTAGGTTTAGGACAGAATAGATTAATCCACAGTTTAAGCCATTCTGTCCAAAACCATTTTATTTAAATTATGTAACAATTTTTAGAAAAATATTGTGAAAAATAAAAGGTTAATTTTTGAACAAGAAATAAAATGAAGAAAAGTTTTTGCTTCATTAAAAAAGTTTATTAATGTTGTATTGCAAAAACAATTTATCAGTATTAAAAGCAGATTTATTTATATTTAAGGTATTCATTTTTGTTGTTCAATGAATTGTGGAGCTTTTATATACTATTTTCCCTTAATAAGTTAAAGCAAATTGTATAAGAAATATCAAATATTTATTGAGATATGTAATTATTAGTCAGTTTAGGACAGACTGTAAAACCCCAAAACAAGTTTAGGAGGTCCATAACTACAACCCTGGAAAAAACATGTTTTTGAAATAAAGAAAATTGCTATTAAAGTTAGGACTTATAAAAAAGTACTTTAATAAATACAGTACAAACTTTATATGACAGCACATTATCTATTCCCAAGTCACTTTTCAAATGCTAATAAAAGATAACAATTGACTAGCCTTCCACTATTATGAACACATTTTTTTACCTATTAAATTAAACAATATCATATGAAACAGATATTTTTATTACGTTTCCTTCTTACGATTTCAACTCTTTATTTTTATGCGAGATCACAAGTTAAGTTATTTTCTTCATAAGCCTTTCCCATCTTCAATATTTATTATTAACATCAACACTCAATGATAGCAAAAGAATTACACTTCATTTCATTTAATTCTTGGAAAAACTTGTCAAAATCAGGAAACTTAGCGACTTTAGAATTTTTTTTTCACCATAGACATTTCTGCCTGTCGTGAAATGCAGAACTATATATATTTCAATCTACAATCTATAGGTGAATGTAGTTTTAAACTATTTTAACTTGAAAATAAATTTTTATTTTCTATTTTTTGCTTGATTGTTTTATTTTGCAATTATTTATTTTATTTCTCATACTTTCTTATTAAGTTCTTTTTTTTTTTTAGTGCTCCTCGCAATATTGTATTGATAAAAGAAAAATTTTCTAATTTAAAATTTATAATTTAAATCAAAACAAAGCCTATCAAGAGGTGTTTTTTTTTTTCCTTTATAAACTTTGGCATTTTATTTCTCTCACTCAAGTTTTCTTTATTTTTTCTTGACAATTCTTTAAGAATGCTTGTTGAAGCGTAAATGTGAAACCTCATGTTTTTTAAAATTTTGCAAGTTAAAAAACCCTTTGACACCTAAGCGATGATTGTTGATACGCTCAGGTACTGTTATGAATTATATACTCATGGCACTAGAATCAGATACTTGTGATTTTTTTTTTAACTGCTTCTACAACAAAAGCATGGAAAACGGTGAAATAAAAATTGGCTTATCAAAAAGTTTAAAGATTTTAGAATTAATTTTTAACCACGCTTTTAATCTTCAACAGCGTCGTAAGGTTATTTTGCTTAAAAACTTATTAAGAAAGGTTATTTTCCTTAACAAAGGAGTCTGAATTTTAAGCACTCGTTTTTGAAAACAAGTAAATATTTCAAAGAAATATAAACAAAATATAAATATTATTGAATAAAATAAATTGTTTTAAGTTAGTTTTTTGCTCATCTTACCTAACGTAACTCTTTCTAGACTTAAAAAGCCAAATAAATGTGAAAAATTCTTTTTATCGAGCATTTCAGTTATTTTTTACAACCTTGTTGTGTTTATGACCATTTTTATTTCATATTAGTATTGCGAATTAATCTTAACAGTTTACTGGGATATCAAAAACCTATTGAGAGTCTACAACTTCTTTGATCGTTTGTTTACATTTATCTAAATCCTTTACATTTCCGACTACCAATTTCTTCTAAAAAGCAAACATCAAAATTAAGAAAATATGAGTCTCTATTGATACATTTGTATTGTTGGCAAGACTCAGCAGCCGCCGTTAGTAATCGAGCACTTGCAGTCTGAAAAGAAGACAACCAATGACAAGTGTTTTCTATACTAGAGAGCGCTGCAGGCTCTTTATCGCCTATACTTCCGGGTTACTGTTTCTGGTGTATTTTGAAGCCATTTGGCTCAGGACGTAATCGTTGTTTTTTAAGTTGTTTCCTGAAAATGTTGTATTTGTTTATTTTTAACTTGTGTTTACAATAAATTCTAAGTTCAAATATCACATGCAATAACTAATAAAGATGTCGTTATATGATAAGAAAATAGTGAAAAGACAGTTCGCTTATATTATATTATTAATGTTAAAATTATAAAGGGTATATAATTTTAACATTAATTGCAAAATAGTAGAGTTAGGTAGAAGTAAAATGTGGTTATATCAATAATAAATATGTAAACCTAACATTTGAAAAAAGAATCGTTATAAAACACTTCTTACCTTTTGAATAATGTATGTCAACTTTCAAATTTAAAGCTGAATTATAATTTATAGACTTAATCTGGCTGCTCGAACAATATGCTAACACTAACGCAAGATGGTGAAAGCAGCTTGCAACAAGATCAAACAGTGACAAACCAATGGAAAGAGGCCAAATCAGGACTGCCAAAAAAGCGAGATTTTCAAAATCTAGCAACCAAGTCACCTTTTTTAACAACATATCTGAACTGAATAAACTGAATATTTGAAGTGAAAATAACTGAAATAAATTTTCACTTCAAATTCACCAAAATTACTTAATAACATAAATATGTTATGAAATATGGCAGTTTTGCGCTCAGAAATTATCTAATTCATTTCTTTAAACTTTCTAACCGGAACTTGAGCAGGTATGGAGCTCGAGATTGTTATTGTTTACATTTATATTGAAAGCACCATTCATACCCAGTGTGTGAGTGGGTGACCATTTGGGTGTCTGCGTAGGGACCGAGGGTGTGCGGTATTGGTCCTCGTCAAACTGTTCTATCGTTAAGTGCTCGACTTCGAGTGCAGGTCCTCTGGCTACCGAAGCGGGGGTGCCATCCCCTCTGCAGAGGATCAAAATTGCAATGGCATGTCTTCGGATCATCCTCAGGGATGTTTCCTAAACCGTCGCCAATAACCCATTGTGCAGCTCTAGTGAGACGGAAATGAACTACAACAACAATCCCTACAACGAATGTGACCTATGACGTCTGCACCAGCTAATCTTTATCAATAATATGGAGCATTAAAGTTGAGTTAAGTTTGTCAGTTAATTTAATTAAGAACCGAAAAACACATCGAATTTGTTGAAATATAATTTTTTCTAGTCTACTTTTTTTTTTACTTAACTTAGATTTATTATTTATGTATTTTATTGTAATCGATATATATTTTTGTGTCATGTAATAATAAGTTTGTTTATGTTCTACATGGCTACGTGCTGTGTTTGTGTAAATATATAGTGGTAGAAACAATTGCCTCGTTTGAGAACCAATTAGGATCGAGATACCCTTTACTGCGTCACTTGCTGGTATCCTCAGGGCCGGATTAATCATTAAACAAATTAAACATGTGTGTAGGACGCCTAAGGTAAATGGGCCACCACACTGCAATAATGAATAAAAGTCTTTTTCTAGAAATACATTTTTTTACACGTTATACAATTATTCGATTATAAATTCTAACACGCGTTCATGGTTTAAACTGAAATGATTCTGATCTTTAACTATTTTAGATTCAGTATATTAAATGAATATTTTTGATTGATTGTAATGAATAAAATAATATTGTAAATTAAAATTTTAAACACGCTTTTCAAGTGAGTGAGGAGAAAAAGAATAATTCGATTATGAAACACTGAAACAAAAAGCGTTGAACGCCTTTTCTAAAGACGGAGATAAAGAGTTACCATCGTTACAAGCACAAAATTGAGTTAATTCCGTTAATAATAATAATAATAAATGTTGTTGGTAGTAAGAAAACTTTTATAAATTCGCGGAGAACAGTCAGAGGTTTTACTGAAAGAGGTTCTCCGAAAATTCTACTTGAATCTTCGGAATGACGATTCAATTGGGTACTAGAACCAATCTCCTCTAAATGGCGCTTAAATCCGCGAAGTAACTGATTTTTGCTTATAACTTGAACCCAGTACCTCAAATCACCGCTTAAATCATCGGAGAAACTCTTCAATTGAGTACTGGAACCCTTCTCCTCTAAATCATTGCTTAAGTCCTTGGAGTAACTTTCTTTTGCTTAAAAACTTGATCCCAGTACCTCCAATCACCGCTTAAATCCACGGAGTAACTGATATATATCATTGAAACTTGATCCCAGTACCTCCAATTCTCTAATTATAGCTGGGAATCACTGATTTTCATTAAAACTTGATCCCAGTACCTCAAATCGCGGCTTGAAGCCGTGGGATTACTGATTTTTCATTCAAACTTGATCCCAGTACCTCCAATCACCGCTTAAATCATCGGAGTAATTCTGTTTTTCTTAATAACTTGATCCCAGTACCTCCAATCCTAATAACGCTTAAATCCGCGGAGTAACTGATTTTTGCTTA